GGGGGAAAAACACTAAAGGAAACAACACTTTATAAAACTGTAGCAGAAATGCATGTATGTGTTTAAAATACCAGAATAACTTTTCCCTCTTGGTTTTCTGCCTGCACTCACTGCACAGCAGCTTCTCTCCATCCCACCTTCTCCGGGATTTTATCAGCCCACATCAAAAGGCTCCTACTTCAATGCTATAGCTCTTACCCACAGAGGAGAAAATTTCACAACCAAGAGCTCATTGTTCATTAGCAGAGCTTCCTCTTCCACACTAATCCAATTATGCACCTTAAGCTACCTGAATGCTTTCCCTGATCTGTGTGCAGGCAGCGGCAGGAGGAGCCAGACATCCTACCCCACCCCAGCATCTGCTCCTGCTGCATTGGCTTTTCCACAGTTTTCTAAAAGTCCTATTTATTTTTTTCTGGAAGTAGGAAAAAAAGGAGGGAACCCACAAACCTAAGAGAGCGTTTATAAGAAAATAATAAATAAGGGTTTAGGAAGCAGAAAACAGATCTCTGATTTATAGGAAAAAATGTGGTAAAGTGCTCCTTACACCAGGACCTTTCTCATCCACAAACCCAAAGGACGTTGCTGCTGTGGTTTATGAAGCAGATTTGAAGCAGTAAACTTTTCACAAGAAGTTCCTATGGAGGCTGTCCCAGCAATAAGATGACTATTAATTTGCCTCTCCAAAATGCCACCCACACATTATCCAATTAATTTGTCTGAGACTCCTTCAGCTGAAACAGAGCAAAGGGATGGATCCTCCTCCAAGCTTCTTGCTCCCTCAACACAGGTTTCAACATATTTCTATGATACTATTACTCTTTCCTTCCAATCGCAATCCCTCCACACCCTGACAAACATTTAAGCATTGACCGTGACACTTCTCTTAAGAACTCAGGTCTGTGGGATGGAGGAGCCTGGGAGGCAAAGCATCCTCCTGACCTATTCATAACCTGACACTGAAGTGGGAACGCACAGTTCCCCCAGCATGAGGCAGCAGCCACCCTCAGGGACCAGCTGGACCAAGCCCTTGTCTCTACTTTTCACTATATTAATGAAAGATTTTTTTTTTATGCATTCCCTCAGCTGGCTTTAATAAAACATTACCAGAGCAAGGAGGGCTGTTTCAAGATTAACACTTGTGCATAACATTTAGATGGATATGAAATAGCTCTTCACCCTCCAACCGACTGCAGCTAAGACTATCCCAAATAAACCTCAACATGATAAAAAACTACTTTTCAAACTCTTGATTTGATGGTACTACTATTTCACTATCAGACAGCACTACTGCAAGTGGGGGATAAACATAAATCGGATGAGATTTTAGTAAATTCCAGCATAAGAACCAAATTTCAACCACTGAGTTTTAAAGAATGTTGTGTTCAGTGCAGTGGATTTAATATCTTATTAAAAAACCTACTCCTGCTCTCACAAGCTAAACTACATCTTTATTACAGACTTAACTTGGGCTAAATGCAAAAAGTCCAAAGATTAATTTTAAAGAATTAAGACTATGAGGGAATCAAAGCCACCTCTTTTAAAGGGCCCAAGAACTTTCCTAGTAACAACACACAAAAAATATAATGCAGAAGAAACAGCCAACATCCAAAATCTAAACCTTTGCCTTTTAAAACGCCTTTAGTGTCTACACTCACTGTGAAAAACCTCAGTTGCTTCTGAAGGACCAACCATCAGTGATAAACACAGTGTCACCAGAGCACCGGCACCCTTTGTGCTGGAGAGGTCTCGGCCCCTAAAGCAGAGTGACATGTTACTGCAGAAACTATCCTGGCCCAGCCCAAGGCTAAAAAATGTCAACAAGGTATTACAAAACCAAGCCCGCCAAGGGCTTCTGTTGCTTTCATTAACCCAGGGACTGAATACCTGGCAGAAAGGCAAGGGCTGGGCTTCAGCTGCCTCTTCCGGGCAGTGGCTCAGCTCTTCAGCACACAGGCTGCTCTTCCTCACGCTCCTGGAGATGCTGTGCTTTGAGAAATGAAAAGTGGCGGAGATTCCAACCTCAACAGAAATAACCCCTCTGCCCTGAACCCTGACATGCTTCACACCCAAGACCAACTCAAACCTCGTGCTCCGGTGTTACCCAGCAGTGTCCTGCCAACAGGAAGGTGCCCATGGTTGGTGGAGGAGTTTGTGCTGGGGTAGGAGGCAGAGCCTTCAGGCTCAGCACTGGGACCCTCTGACCATCCTTGCTATGACCCCCATGTGTGGGGACAGATCCCACATCAGTCGGCGCATCTACCACAGAAAATCAAAATCCACACAAGACGTAGTGAGGGGGTCCCTCAGCCTGAATGGGAGAGGTACACCAACAAGACAACTTAAAACCCAAATGAAAATCTTTGCAAAATTTCAAACCCTGAGACAAATCCATGTTGGAGTACAAAAAAAAAGTAGGATTGTCATATACCTTCCCCCCACCTTCCCCCAGGAAAATCCACCCCTGGAGCTGGGGAGGAAAGTGAAGCTCATTTTCCTAAGTTACTCATCGCTCTGAATCACACCTCCCCAGGCACACCTCATTTCAGAGCCATCTCTGGGTTCATCAATTCGCCTCTGTTTCTGTATGCAACCTGAGAACTCATTACATGGTGCTTAAACAACGGCAAACACTACCTTGGATGAGCACCATCAAACTTTATGACCAATAACTAAGCCCCTTGCACTTTCATAAGGTATGTTCTTCTTTTATATATGACAAAGAAAAATGGGGTATAAATTTTGCCCCAAGCTACACTGCAAATCGATGTCAATTAGAAATCTAAAAGCACTGGTATTAGTTTATCTCCCAGTGGCTAAACAAGGATGCTTTGGACACTCCTACCCCCAAAGCTGAGCTCAGTTTGGGATTACAGCCCAGCAGAGCAGTGAACTGAGCCAGGACCCTGTCTCTAGCCTATAGCAGAGACCGCACAGAGAAATGACATTTTAAATAGCTTTTCAGGAACTGCTTGGTGTCACCAAAAATACATATAAAATAGCGTCACACGCAGGCGCTTTGTTTTGCTGCACTTCGGCAGAAAACAGCGATTTTCTCACGGGTCTGAGCTGTGCCAGCGACGCGGTGAAGTTTTAAGATGACAGTGAAAAAAGGGAAATTTAAGCAGTTAGAGCTGTTTCGGTGCCGGAGGGCTTGGAGGCTCGGCCTCCCACAGCCACTAGTCGCGACACAGCTCCGGCCATCGTTTAGCACCTACTTTGAGAGAGCGAGGAAACACGAGTGGAACGTGGACTGCACCGTTTGCCCCGCGGGTCTGCGGCAGGAGCAGAGGGACATGCCAAGTACTTTCTGCCGACCCCTTCCCGGGCCGGCCACGGGTGGGAAGACCCCCACGTCCACACTGGCTCCTTGCGGCTACCACATCTTTCTCACCTGCCTCAGGCGTGGGTCAGCTTCACGGGAGTTTCCCAGAAGCGCTCCCCAGGCAGGGCCGGCCGTGGGCTGCCCGCGCCACGCGGGGACACACGCGGGGACACACGCGTGGCCGCTCGATAGGCGAGCGCTGCCCGGCGGGACGCGCCCCGCACCCCCGCCTGCCCCACCCAGGACGGGGGATCCCCGCTCGCATGGGAAGCCCGTCCCGCGTGGGAAGCGCACCCCACGCAGAGGGGCCAAGCCAGGGCGGCCACCCTGTGCTCCCACTCCGTGCTCGGGGGGGGGGACACCCCACGCAGCATGATCCAAGAACCACCCCACCCACGCGTCCTGCCCCCTCGGGCGGCACCGGCAGCCCCGGGCCCGCAGGGAGACACAAGCGCTCCTCCCACCATGCATGGGGAGCCCACGGGCGCAGCCCCCACCACCCCCGCCCGTTCCCACGGCGCCCACCGTCGATGTCGCCCAGGGTGAGCTCGTCGCCCAGCTCGGTCAGGGTCTCCATGCTCTCGGTGGCCAGTTCGCCGCCCTCCATGGCGCAGGGCCCGCCGCCGCCCCGGGCGCTCAAGCGGACGCTGCCGCTGCTGTCGCTGCCGGCGGGCGCCGCCGACCCCGCGCCATCTTGGGCAGCCCCGGCGGCCCCGCCCCCGCGGCCCCGGCGCGCGCGCCCCCCGCGGTTTGTTGTCAATGAGACCAGGTCGCCCCCGGCCAATCGGCGGCCGCGGCGGCGCGTGGTGTGATGGCGCGTCAGCGATCAGCAGCTGCGATTAGCATGGGCGGGGCCGCCCCCTCATCAGAATATTCATGAGGTGGGCGGTGCCGGGCCACGCACGGCGGACACGCGTGGGAGCGACGCCATCACCCGCTCCTCCTCCTCTGCCCACGGGGAACACCGCTGGGGCAAGGCTCGCACCCCGGGCTGCCCGCCAGGCTCAAGGGCGCGAAGGCCAGGTGGAAGGCGCCGCTGGGGAAAGGATGGGGTTTGTCCTTCCCTCCGCAGCTCCCGCGGACCCTCACCTCCTGGGGGGCCCAGCCTCGACGCCCTCTGGCGCGCACCCGCTCCCCCCAGGAATGGGAGCAAAAGCCACGCTTCTTTTACTTAAAAAAAATAAAACAAAATAAAATAAAGTCAATTTTATTAAAAAAAAATCAAACTCGCGCCCACTGCCACCCCCCCACTGGAGAGACTTGGCTCTGCTGTTAAAAATTCAGGACGTTTCCCCTTTCCCAAAGGCTGCGATGCTTCCAGCCCGGCACAGAGCACCCGCTTCTTGGGGATGGTCCCTCTGCAAGAGCCTCCTCTGATGCGAGGTCATCAGCGATGGCGGGAAACAGCAGGGCGGTTGTGCCGGGTCCCGGGGCCAGCCCCTCACCTCTGCTCCCCAGCTGGCTCGCTCCCTGCTTCGGCCCTGCTATCCCCACATGCCCTTATCTGGCTGTCCCTCTGCCAAAGAGGCTTTGGAGTCTAACTTAGAGAGGATGAGCGCTGCAGAGGAGGGATGGGGGCAGGATGGCAGGGGCAGGGCATGAGGTGCAGCACAGGCTCACAGCGGCTGGGGGCTGGTTCCCCAGTACCTTCAGCATCAGCAGGGCTTGCACTACAGCCACCCATTGGCTGCAAAGAGGCCAAGTACTGAAATTCCTTCAAAAAATTCACCGTGTGTTTGCCTCCCTGCAGGAACGCCCAGTGGTGTCTGCATAGGAGAACAAGATGCCATCAGGCCAGGAACAGATGCTGTCAGCCTTTTAAACTACATCTGAGCAATGAAATGCATGTTCCTCGGTAAGAGAGCCACTGGGAAGAGGGGAGAGCTGATCTGGCAGAGGTAGCAGCTGTGCAGAGACCAGGTAGAGCCGGGTGGGGGGTGCCAATGAGATCACCAGTTTAACAAAACAAAAACCAAAACTGAGAGAAGCAGCATTGCTCATGAGGCTGTTTGGTGTGATGCACTCCCCAGCCCACCCATGTTGGAGGAGGCAGGTTCAGTGTAGAGTGTGCTGCGGAGTGGAGGGATTCCTGGGCTTCTCAGGCACAGCATGTCCCCCACACCCTACTTCCCCACAGGCAGCAGCACCCCAACCAGCCCAGGGGATGGCCCCACTGCTTTTCCTTTAGTCTGTGCTTTAGCTGTGGGGAAGGCATACCCCACTCCAGCTGCACTGGGGCAACCCACCAGCACTGCCACCCAATCTCCACTGAACAAAAGGGAAAGGCAACAAAACAAAACCCACGGCACAAACGGAAAGGGGACCGCCAGGCACTGGCCAAAGGCTGCCGAGAGGGAGCGAGCCACTCTGCGTCCCAGTGGTGTCACCCCCACTGCAAGGCGCAAGCCCCCGCACGCTACAGCTCCGACTGCGAGCGGGAGATGCGCGGGCCCTTGCGGATCTCCTTCCGCTTCTCCTCCTTCTTCCTCCTCTTCTCCTCGTCCCTCAGCGCCTTCTGAAAGGTGTCAGCGCTGGGGAAAAACTGTGGATTGACAGCAAGGGGTCAGGATGGGGGAGCCCCAAAGCCTCCCAGAGGCACAACCCCCTGCCAAAGCCAACGCACAAGCCTCATGGTGCCAGGGGGCTTGAGGACGGATGTGGCATGAGGCAAATAGGATCTCGACCATGGGGCAGGTGGCCACAAGAGAGAGGAGATGGTACCAGGTGCCTAAAGTCAACTGCAGCCCAGCCAATGAATTCAGTGTGTTTCAGCCATGCTTCCTCAGTGGGGTTTTGGCTATTCCCAACGAGACACCTGTTCCACTCCCCAGCCAGCTGCCGGGAGCTGCGATGGGGAAAGCCCACAAGGTGGGCTGGCAGCATTGCTGTCTTACCTCTGAGTGGTCCGTTTTAAAGGGATTGCGGTAATCGGGCGATTTCTCGCTGATTCCCAGCTCCTGAGCCATCTGCAGAGCAAAGCGGAGACCACATCGGGCACTGGTGCCTCCCACTCACACTCTCCCCTTACTGTGACCAGGATCCCCTCCTCCCCACCAGCCCCATCTATGTTCTATGCTCTTCTCCCATCACTCAGCCCAAGGACAGCCCTCAGACATGGAGTACACTCCTCCTGCCCTCCTTTTACCCCAAAAACCTCACCCCCCCAGCCTAAGCAGCAGAGTAGGGACACGGCAGGGGGGACCAGGAGCCATACCAGCCGCAGGACCTGGGAGTGAGGTCCCTGCTCGAACACACCCGTCAGGTTGCAGAAGCCGATGCCCCAGCGGATGAGGCTGTTCCAGTTGGAGTTGTGGTCGAAATAGTGGTGCACAATCTTGGGGAAGCGCAGGACAACATCCCCGAAGAAAGCAGTATTCTCCACTACGTGGGAGTATGCTGTGGGGACAGCCACCAACCCCATCGTCACACATGCCCCATCCCACTGGCACTTATGTCCCCACCAGGAGGTGGGGAGGCTGAGTTAAAATGGGTAGGTTCCCCAGTACGAGCTAGTCAGAGGCAACAATAAGGTCCCTGACAGACAGGGTCAAGCCCAGGTCTGGTCTGGATACACAGGGGTTTTGTACCTACCCCGGTGCCAGTCCCAGGAGGAATGTCTGTGATGCACCAGAGCACTCAAAAAAGGAGGAGGGGTAAAGACCGGAGAGGACCTACCATCTTTTATCTTCTCATCCTGAGGGAAAGGCCCGTCGGGAGGCACATCAGCAGCAATAAGCACAGCACGAGAGTCTTCCAGCACCTGCCAGAACCCTCAGTTACTGCCCTGTTTTGCCAGCTCTTCCCTGTACCCTCGAGGTGCTGCCCCAGCTGCCCCACTTTGAAGCCCCATAGCATCCTCCCTTCAGGTCCTAAAGCTCACCTGCCACACAATTCTTCTCTTTGACCCCATGGAGGCCCCCCAGCCCTCCCCACTTTGGCCCACCCTTCCCAGCCCCACCAAGCGTGGCCTGTGCTGTGGCTCACTTTGAAGAGTCCCTTGAGCATGATGTCAATGATTTTGTACTGCTGGTTGACGTCATTGAGCTCAATCAGATTCTTCAGCGCGTTCATCTGGTCCTTGCGCTTAACCTCAAACAGCTTCTTATCTGCAACAGTGTCAAGGGCACTGCTGGCACTCTGCCACCTCTGGCTCCCATGCCCCTCTGCACCATCCCAGTCCCCTCAGTTCCCCACGGAGTGCCTGAGGGCTGGGGGGCAGCATCTGAGCCAGGATGAAACAAAGATTTCCAGTGAGCCCCCTCGCCCAGACACCCCAGCAGGACCCTTAACGATGCTGAGAGCAAGTGGGGAGCTTTCTGCTTGCCAGTCCATGCTCTGGCTGAGGGGCTGGAGGAGGAACATGAACTCCCACTTTCCCCATATGTGTCTCCACATAATATCTTTTCATACTTTGCCTGTTCACCAGGGGATGCTGCTGCATGCTAAGAAGGGCTTGCATTAGCCCACCTTCTCATGGGCAATAAATGCCTGGGGCACAGAGAAGTCCAAGTGCCACAAGCCCAAAAGTCGTCTCCCACCATCCCAGTTGGTGACCCCAAAGCACTGAGACCCCAGGCATGCTCTGCCACCCAGCTGGCCATGCCACTTCCAAGCGCAGACTGGGAAACATGCTCAGTGCCCAGCATGATGGAGCAGAAAGAAAAAGCAGAACACCAGGCACCACCACCATTTCTGCTCCTGCACCAAGCCAGGCACTTGGCTAGCAAACCCAGTAGCTTGGCTAAAACCCTTCTACAGAAGAGCAAAGCAGCAATTTCCCAGTGCTTCTGGATTCTCTCTGTTCCACTTCCCTGTGCCTTTTCTGTGGTCTCTGAATCTTTCCCTGCACATGAGCTCCCTCCAGCCTCAGTAGGCATGAGCGTGTATTTGAGTCACAAGGAGCAGGCTGCAGAGGATACAGATTTCCAAGCCAGAGTCCACCCTCTGTTTTTCCAGGTCTGCGAAGCTGCCTCGAGATAGCAGCAGCACCAGCAGAAAAGGGTAGATGAAGAAAAAATCCATGTTGGCCACTGCAACCTGGAAAGAAACAGACCAACAAAACCAACAACCAGTGAGGAGACTTACGAAAAGGAAAAGTCACACAAACCACTTGAGACCAACAGCACATTGCACATCAGGGTCCTTGCCTGCCTCTCCCTTGTCCTCATGAGGGTTTGAGGGAGACAGTCGCCAGAGCAGAGCCACGGGGTGATGCTGCAGCCAGCCTGCTCTCCCCTGGGAGGTCTCTCTCCTCCTCCTCTCTACCTGCCTCCATATTTGGCTGGGCCCCCAGGGATCTGACTCAGCACTGACCTAGAAGAAAAATTAAGTCCTACCTGTTATCCCAAAAATAACAGCTAGCTTTTTGTTGGGTTTGTGAGTTAGAGCAGCCCAGCAACTGAAACAGCAAGGCTGGATGGTGAGGATTGCCAAGGGGCTGAGCGACACGCTCAGCCATCTCCCTTCACCCCTTGGGGTGCTGTTACCTGGACCCTTTCCCTCACTATCAGCCAGGTGCCAGCTGCAGGCCCCACGCCGAAAAGCAACAGTTAGGTGACCTGGTGGTAACTTCCCCCTTGCCCCAAACAAGTCCCTCCCCAGGCGGTGGTGTCTGAGGCTCTGCAGAGATGCTGTTGGGCAGAGCTGCTCCTGACTACAAGGGTCCCTCATCCACAGCCAACATGCAGAGGAGAGGCTGGGGGAGATGGTCCTTGAGAATGAGGTTCAGCCTCCAGGCAGCAGAACTCGAGGTGGCGGCCCATCCGCAGGGACAAGGTTTCCACTGAGTCAAGCAGCGGCCACTGGCAATTACAGAGGCAGCAGCTCCTTCAGAGGCATTGCCCATGCCGCCCCCTGGTCCTGACGTAAAGGCAGATGTGTAAAGCCACCAGAGCTGCCCTCATCCTCTGACACACTGACCTCCTGAGCCCACGCTCGCCTGCCTGGGCAAACTTCTCTCTGCAATGCCCTAATAGTGGAACAGAAACAAATCGCTTCTTGTTTTTTTCTTATTGTTTTTCTTTTTCAAAACTAATACAATTTGTTCAACCCTGGGTCCATGAGAGAGGCAAAGCAGGCAGCACCAGCAGCTCTCCCAGCCTTGCAAAGATCAGCAGCAGCTACCACCATACACCTCCTGCTGAGGCTGAGCCAAGCACCTTCACAACCCCAGTGGGGGAAGAAGAACAGCGTAGGGCAAACATGAGAAACCCTCTGAATTATTTTGCTGTTGTGCTTTGTAAAAGGCACCCCTGGAAGGGAACAGATCAGAGTAAATACAACCAACTTTACCGAGGAAGACACAGCTGGCCATGGTGTGGGCTCAACAACACACCGCATGTTTCAGACACAATGCAGAGCCAGAACGGCAGCACAAGTCTCCCACACCAGGTCTGAGTCTGTCCCCTCTGCCCACTGTGGTGCTAGGATTAAGCCATATTCCAGCAATCCTGAATCCACAAAGCACACTGACAAGCCAAGGCTGTAAGGAAAAATTCTTCAGCCCAGGCAAACAGATACTCTGCTGAACCCACCAGCCTGGTTGGCTCCCAGAAGACTGCTTCACCCTGCCAAAAAACATGACCCAAGGACCCAAGGCCTGGCTCAGCAAGGTAGTGTGGGTCTCCCCTCTGTAGAGCCCCCCACAGCTGCTTATTCCCTCCCAGGCTCTCAGGGAGGAGGAAGTGCAGCAACTCAAAAGCACTAAGTGCGACTGCCCTGGGACATGGGCTACTGTTTGCCCCTTGGATCGGACATGCGACCATAACGACCAGGCTAGTTATTTGCCATGGTCATGGAGAATTGGAAAGAGATGTTGGAGGCAGCCAGTGGCCTCCAGACCAGGCTGGAAGGCAAACAGTAGAAATGCTGCCCACAACAGCTCTGCCATGCTGCCGGTGGCAGTCCCAGCATGCCTGGTAAGGGCAGGGGCTACCGCATCCTCTGCTTCCAATGTGGGAACTGGGTGGCCACAGGATATTAAATGGTCGCTCCAAGGGGGAAGAAGTTCAGCTGCAAGAAACTCTGTTCAAGGCAGCAGCAGAGCAAAGTGAAGCTCTCGGCCAAAGCAGTTGCCAAACAGCTGGTTGCTGCAGTAGAAGGTCCACCAGCCTGCCTGGGTGCTTCCAAGTCTCAGAACAGTGATGGGTTTTTCCAGAGATATGATCTTTAGATGCTGCAGTATATATGGTCAGTGTTTTTGATGAAAATGTTTTCAATTACTTTACAAATCCTCCTGCATCAGCCCTAACGACTGTGCCACGGGACAAGGTTGGAAGCAGAGGACTGGAGAACCATGCCATACCAGAAGCCCATCACCTTTTGGTCTGGCCCCTTTCCTGCTGGCACTCATTCTCACATCGAAGCTAATTACTGCCATTGTCCATCAGGGCTGAAACACCCCAGCAAAAATGAAGCAGGACCCAGGTTGTTTCCCTCTCCCACAGGGAATGTGAGGCTGCTGATGCCATGTGGGACCATCTCAAATTTATTTCCCTTCACTGCCCTGCCCATTTCATCACATTTTAACAGCAGAGAACATTCTCTCCTCTCCAGGCCAGACTGTGTAAGTGCAGAGATGCCAAAGCTCCTTGCAGATGTTCCTCCACACTTTCCCCACAAACTGTCTTCACACCTGCTGAGGGATGAGATGGAAACACCACAGAGCTGCTCCTCCCTACTCCTTGCTGAACTGATTCCTGCCAAAGACAGCTCTGCCTCATGTTCCCAGAGCAGTCCAGGGAGCCAAGGCCTGGCCTGATGCTACAGATGGGAAGGAGTTTCCACCAATATTCCCTCACAGCCCTGGCCAGCTGTCTGTTTCAGCAGAAAGCCCACCAGTCTGTCTTGCTGTCTCCCATCCTCTTAATTTAGATGTGTTTTTCCAAAGACATGACAACAGATGCCGTGTTATAGATGGTTAGTACTTTCCATTAAAATGTTTTTAATTACTTTATAAATTTTCCTGCAAGAGCCCCGTCTGAACCAAGCATCCCTGAGATTTATTCACTTAATGAGCTTGCAAGGCAGAGCCGCGCTGCCACGCCTTGGTTCTCAAGAGGGACTTTTGCAGTACCTCCCATCTCTCCTCTGCAGGGCACTGAATTGCAGGGGGGAAAGCATCATCAGCCTGCCCGTGCCAGGAGCACACTGTGGCAAAACAAGAAATGAAAACTCCCCGCCCCATGAATCCATTCCCGAGCCGCTTCTCCAACAACCATATGAGGATTAATCTCTTGTCACAACTGAACAAAAAGCTTTGGAAGTGAAACACTGCTGCTCAGACTTCTGCTCGGACAGTTCCCCATGGGGCTTACAGGACCAGCTGCTTCAGTTGAAACACCGGCCATTTACACCTGCTTGTCTCCAAAGTCCCCCAGCCGCCAAGCCCAGAGCTCACTCACCACACAGTTTGTCATCCCCGGCAGAAGCCAGCGAGGTGCTGTGATTTCCATCAGGAACGGGTCCATCCCAGCCCACCCCTTGCCTCCCGTCCTGCCGGAGGGGGTCAGCAGCACCCCGAGGGTCTCGGGCGGCCGCGGGCACAGGGAGATGGAGATTCTCCCGCAAGCATCGCTGAAACTAACGGCAGTCACACAGGGACAGTGGAGTGGAAACGGGATTAGCCGACAGTACCCCGGCCGCGCTGCGGGTAACCCAGCCGGAGCCGTGTCAAGTGGACGCAGCAGGCGGCACACGGGGGATGCGAACCCTCGGGGCAGGACGGCAGCTCCCCGGGCTGCGGAGGTCCGCTCCTCCCGCCGCTCCAGCGCGGGGCCAGGGCGGCGATGGCAGGCAGAGCCCGTCGGGCACAGCCCTTTAACCCAGGGTCCAGCGAAGTGCCTCGGGGCCGCACTGCCCGCGCCGCTCCACGGCCACCCCGGCTGCCCAGGAGGGCCCTTCCCTGGGACCGCTCCCGGCCACCCCCGCCCCGCCGTGTCCCCGGAGCGGTGCCTGGGCTGCTCTCGCCCTTCCCTCCTGCCCTGCCGCGGCCGGGCAGTGCCCTCCGGCCCCGCTGTGACTCCCGGGACGGGGAAGGCTCCCCGCCGCCCCCGCAGGCTGTCCCTCACCTGCGGGCCGGGAGCCGGGTGCCGGGTGCCGAGGCCGGCGCTCACACCCGCCGCGCTGCCATGCCGCTGCCGCCGCCGCTTCCCCGCTCCGCCCCGCCGTGTCACTTCCTGAGTCCCCGCCCCGCCCCGGCACCGGCCCCACACCGGCGGGGCTGCCCGGGTTTGGGCCTCCGGCCCTGGGAGGTTTCCCCCCGTCGGGGCCGCTCTCGTTGTGGGAGGGTTTCTCCCGGCTCCGCGAGGGAAGGAACCCCGTTAATTAGAGCCTCGACGGGAACGGGACACTTAAAGGGTGTGGAGGCAACAGGACCGTGGGGGCTGGAGCTGTAGTCGAAGGAGTCACTCGTGAGCTGGAAGAAGTCTACTCAGCACCATGGCACACGCGGCATATCCTGCTTCCCCGGGGTCCCCGCTGAGCCCCCGCCGCCCCTGCCAGCCCAGAGCTAAGGGGCCATCTCGGAGAGCCATGAGCCAAGGCGGGTGAGCAGAGCACCTCTTCCATGGCATCCCTCTACGCCATCGTTTCCCCCGGCAGGTCTGTAGTTTGATAGCTGAAGGGCATCAACCAAGCCTCACCCTGCACAGAAAAGGAAACTGAGCCGTTTCAGCAACAGAACTTTATAAATGAGTTTCAGCAAACCTTTTTCTCAAAATGAGCAACAAATTACTTCCTTTGTCCATCTTCTCTCTCTACTATTCACTGGGAATAAATGGCAGGATGGGGTCTTTGCTCCATTCTTGCCTTTTTCCTCTGCTCTGCACACCGCATCTTCTCATTTCAGTTGCCAATGTGTGAGAGGGACACTGCCACGCTTCCCAGACATCTGTCATTGGCATCATGAGTGGAAACCAAAGGAAAGGCATGGCTGAACTCCAGCATGCTATGGGAATTCCCACATTTGACATACCACTGACAGGAGGTTTTCATTACTAAACCAAGCCTCCCCAAGCCATGGAGCCCCACTCCCAACATATGCGAAAAACATCAGTGTAGGTAAACCTGAAGAAAAATTCTTTCTCAACAAAACTGATGTCAAAGCCTGAGTTTGACCAGAGGATTTTGTCTTCCCTGTTCATGACTATCTGGATGGTTTCCACCAGGACAACTTGCCCTCTCGGTGTCCCACAACAGAGAAGTAGTATCACATTGGGGGTAAGCACAAAGACAAGCTACTCCTCATGGAACAAATACCTCACCCACTGCACATCCTGCATATGGCTGATGATGGTGTTCCACAGTGAAGGAAGACCCCCTACCAACAGGAAATCAGTGCCCTGGCCACTTCCATCACTGCTATATGTCTGAGGCAAGGCAATGCAGCATGATGAAAACAGGAAGGCAAAGAAAAGTTTGGGAAATAACCAAATATTGCACCAGGCCCCCTCTTTCTCCACAAGGAATCTGGGAGTGGCCCCGACTCCATCCCCAGAGAAAAGGAGGATTCAGTTCTCAGCGGGCAACTCTAGGGCCAAGCAGAATAAAATTTGCTAACTCCCCTCACTGGTTCCCAAATGCTCCCTGCACTTTGAAAGTGCCTGAGTCATCTTTGGGTTTTCACTACTTCACGGGCATACCAGCAGTAGCCAGCATGCAGACAGAGGTTAACTCATTGCTCATACTCCAGGAAAATCAATACAGAGATCGTTACTGCTTTGAAGTCAGACTCCCCAACCTGCTCCCCTTTCATCAGACCACCTCTGCCTTACAGATGAATGCAAGCCCCGCACAGAGACCCATCATTCATCCCAAATGTCTCTGTATTTCCCAAACATCTTCTCAGATTAGGAGATGATGAAGTCTTTCATCCCAAAGTTAGTCAAGTGTAGCAACCACTCAGTTTTTCAATTTTGTTTGCCTTCAGCTGGAACAAGAGAAGGAACAGCAGCTTAAGTATCCCTTCCAACCTTTGTTACACCTACCACTCACATCACCTATCAAAGGCATTTGCCCAGCAAAGGATACACAATGTCCTGATGTTTTATACACGTGGTCCTCTGTCCCAGGAGACGATCCAGCAAGGTCTGAATGGTCCCTGACTGTACTGGCTCCACCTGGTAATGACTGCTCTGAATCTGAGCAGTCAGAAGAAAGAATGACCAACTGTTCCAGAAAACTGTTGGGTTTGTTCCTTCATACTCCCTCCCTCATCTCCACACAGAGCAATGAAATCTTCAGACTTTGATCTGGGGGGTAATCAAGGGGCTGCCCAATCTGATGACATAGTTTAGGCAGTGGCTGGCATCACTCCCTTTCTGATTCCACTGTACACCCCTCGGGGCAGTAGGCCAAGGTAGCAGCTGCAGGATTCCTCTTCATCTTACTATAGCCTCCTCAAAAGGAAATTTATGGCTCCCCATCAAAGGCTAAAGCAAACACCCAGGGATTCTCTTCCAATTTTCCTCGGCAGTCACTGCTTTCTTACCTGACAAAGGAAGTGGTGAAGAGCACAAGATGTGGCCTCAGGCAGTTCTGCTAAGTTGGCTTCTGCTGCCTCCTGAAGAATCTGGCTAATTTCTTTTTGAGAAATAATATTGCTGCTCTGATATCTCACAAACTTGAACAAAGGAAAAAATAGAGGCATTAAATAGTGAAAGACCCGCAGACTGCAACAGTGACTCATCGCCTGCAAAGACCTCTTCTATGTGATGGGATGCTGCAACACCCTAACCACAGGCCTGATTTTTATACCACCTCTAATAGAACCAGTGCAAGTATCTGTGTTTACAGTGCTCTGATTTATAGCCATATTTATTTTGGTTTAGGTCGGGAAGTAACTAAAATAAATCAGGCAACCTTTTAAAACTGAAATAAAGCAGCAAATATTCACAGACCCATCTTGTATTTGGAGGGGGAAGGTTCGCATTAATAGCTCCCTCCTCTCATCCACTGCCAAGAGGGCTTTATCTTCAGTATTTCTGCTGGGCAGGACCACATTCCCCCTCTAGCCCACAGGCCCCCCATACAGCAAGGTAGTATATTGTGCTAACTCCCTGCCCTGAAAAGTCATGTCTGTAAGGCTGAAGGTGGGGAGACAAGCTGTGATGCCAAGCAGTCGGCTTGCTCCCTGACTGGTAACAGCAGTTGTATGTTCTCTGCAGGTTTCCTCTCTCCCCCCAGGGGTCCTAGATGTTATAAATAAATGCTACAAACACCAGAAGAACAGGAAGTACTCGCTAACAGCAGTCAGTTTCTGCAGGGTGTGGAAGGGAAGTTCACTCGAAAGTATCATTATTAATATAGGTCACTAATATAGTGCCAGACAAAGCCACAGCAGTATCTGAGATTGGGTGTGTGTAGCAGGATGTGCTACAGGGTGTGTGTCCAATAACTGACCCACATGCGTTGTACCAACATACTGGGAAAAATGGAGAACAGCTTGCCCTTCTCCTGCTCACCAAAGTCATCAGCCTCAGAACTTCTGGCTGCAGAAAGGACTTCTGGCCCCCACTGAGTAGTGTGAAGAGCAGGAATCGGTGCCATGGCTGTGAAGCAACATGTAGAGCTGGGACAGAAGGAGAAGCCAATGAAAGACAGCTGTAAAATTGCCCAAGTGACAGGCTGAACCCAGCTAAGGACAATCTTCAATACTGACCCCAAGTTTTCTCTTCTAGACCCCATGCTGTGAAACACTAAGGGGATAGTTTGCTATGTTCTTACTTGCCTTTTAATCTGTCACTCTTAGGGCAAGTTTAGTCAAAAGGACAAAAGCTTAATAGCTTTTCAAAGCAGAAAATACATTTTGTCCATCTTTGTGCTGGTACAGGAAGAGAAACCTCCTGGAGTGCATGTCATAAAATAGCAAGGGAATATCTTCATCTTGGGGTTTCAAAAATAATAACCTCTGGTTTTAATATGAGGACAACTCTCCTGACCTCAGTTTTTATTTAGCTGCAGAGTACCCTTTGGGGAATGAAGAAAGCCCTACAACAGAAGCTGCACAAACTGAGCTTGGATCTGCATCAGACAGCATACTGTGGGGACCAGCCAGGCTGATGGCAGCAATGCTAACAGTCAGTTTACTAAGGAACATACATGATAAACGTGTATGAGGTAAGGCTCATAAGTCTGTGGTGGCATGAAGTCTCCCATTAAATGCTAAAATTAAAATTTTATTACCTTGTATTTACTGCAGGTTAGAAGTATGGGATAAACAACTACAACAGGTCAGCTGATATAACTTGTTATACCATGGCAACTCACGAGAGTGTTAGAAAGGCCTCTTTTCCACTGGCAGTCACATAACCTCCCTATTGCCACTACAAGAATCTTTTCTATAGGAAAACAACACTAAAAATAATGTAAAATATTTTTTGGGGTATTTTTTAGAAATAAGAAAGTACCAGCACTGAGCCTGCTCTGCACTTCTGGAAAAATCTCTGGACTGAGAGAGGGTTTTAAAAAGCCTCAGATGAATCAACTCCTAGAGGCAGAGTCCAGGAAACACTCTTTCCAGTGTTCTTGCATTTTTCAGCCAAACCCAGCTATGACCCTCATTTGGCTTGGAATAAGGAGACTCCTCTTATTGCTGTTGTGAACTTCAGTACCACAGCAGCCAAAGTGACAGGTTCAGCTGTTGCTGAAGCAGCACTCCATTAGCTTAATCCCAAATCAGCAGAGCCTCCCCATAACATGCCACTTTTTTTTTTTTAACCCAGCCTTTTCATAGCCTCCTGTCAGCTACTGGCTGTCATTCATCTGCAGTATTACATCTTCATCCAACCGCTTCATCTCTCCCACCAGTGTCCCTTTTGTCTGGTGTCCATTCACTCCATCCCCTTCTCTCTTAGTGTTTAAATGACTGAAGTGAGCAGAGAACTTTCTGGTTTAAGAACAGAGCCAGCACCTGGACTTTGTGGCTTGAGGCTGACAACAAGAAGGGTCTATCCTTCCCCCTCGACTGTACAGTGCTGTCATATTATGTTATATTGCAAGCATGGTATATATCAGGTCTGACATGGACTCTGGAAACCAAGGTTAGCACTCACCCCTGGAAATCTAGAATTTCTGTCTTCCATTCCCTAAGGCTGCCTAGTACCCTGTTCTCCCTTCCCTCGGGGCCAAACTGTGACCAACATTATCCTTGTAAGACACATCACGTTCAGATCCTCCCCCACTATATTTATGGTCTAAAGGTTTGATAAAATTGGCCTGGAAGTAAAAGCCTATTCCTATACTCCTTCCATTCCCAAACCTTTTACTCTTATGGGGGTGGAGAATGCCTTTTTACCTTCTGGAAAGCATCTCAGTGTCCAAAGCCAAAGTGAGGGCCCATGCCTCCAGGGGAGTCAGGCACTGTGATTTCACCCCACAAAGCACATGATTAACTTTAGGCATACAAATAATTTTTCATATTGGGCATAAACTCATTAAGCATCTGTTCCAGAGTGCTACTGGATAGAGATCAAAGAGCTCAAAATCACTGCAGGAGGGAAACCAGAAGAAGAAAGAGCAGGAAGACTTTACCAACATCTTGGTTCTTCACATACAGGTATTCCACTAAGGTTTCCAGGCAGGCAACCACAGCCTGAGAGAGAAGCAAGTCTTTCTGGAATACCAAAAAAGGAAAAAAAGAAGGAAAGAAAAAAAAAACAAACCCAGTCAACAGCAATTGCAAGAGGAAAATTCATAAAGGGCAGGATCTGAAGATTATTCAGCACAGGAAACTAACACCTTTCATCTCCTTCACGGGATGCAATGTGCTCCAAATTATCTGTCACATCAAGGAGCCAGACAAAGGCATGACTACTTATTCTGAGACTAAAAAAATATTAAGTAACAGCCTCCAAAAAGTAAAGATAGGAGCCCAACATCGCTTAAGAGAGCTAAATGTAAACTGATGTATTACCCCAGGAGCACAGCATCACTTGAGCAAGTTAAATGTACGCTGATGCATTTACTACCCACAAAAGCACCTTGCTTTGTGGGTAGTTACACTTTGTGGGATTTGTTACACTTTTCCCATGTCTGTCCCTATAGACCTCTGCATCCCTGCAGAGCTGGAGATGGGAAAACAGAGACCATCATTAGTACACAGAATTTCAGCTACCCAGTTCAGCAGCAGGGAGCACCGCATAGCTTGATTTACCTTCTTTCTCACTGCACTACACTGCAGCAAGAGCATTTTCCCTCCTCCTCATCACATGTCTGTAAGGGGTGGAAAATGCAGGCAGAAGGAAAAAAACAGGCAGCCCCTTTGATTCTGCAATAGGGTGGTTTCTGCTCTGGTTAATGTTCCTGCTTGAAGCCCAACACTTGTGTTGTTCCAAAAGTCATATTTTATATACCTGCAACTGGACTTGCACCAAAAGGTTCTGCAGACTGACAACAAGTGAGAAGACCTGCTGTGTGGCAAGGGGGTGCAAGGCAGCATCCTGCAATGATGATGGCTGTGGTTGAGTAGCGCCTTGGGCCGTGTTTTGGCCAGCGATCACCAGCAGAGAGGAGGAGAAGTTCTGGCGCAGAGCAGCTCTCAGGAACTGCATGATGCTCACTAGACAGGGAGACGCTTATTAGTGTGTGTCAGTGTTTTCCTCTGCCCTGCCCTGTGTGTTGGTGCCTGTGCAATAGCATGGGAGAGGGTGAGGAAAGAAAATTTGAGCTTAAGAGCCCACCAGAGTTGTTTGGCAGCTGCTAACAGCTGCAAACAGGAATGGCAACATGAGTTCCCATGTTCATCTCCTTCCTTGAGACCCTATCACAGTTCACACTCAGTTCTAGATGTCACTACCAACCTCCAAGGAAGATTTGTCCAAACACAGCAGAACTCCAGACAGTTCCCTTTTGCTCTTTCTTACCACCAGTTACACACTTATGGATCAGTTATGCCAAATGGACCAAAGATTCCAGATTCCCTCCAGCATCTCCACCATCCCATTCCATAGTCACCAGTTCTCCCCTGTGGCTTGTAGCATGGTGCTAGTGGCTGCTTCCAGCCAAATCCCTGTAACAGATGCAAAATACCTAAGAGCAGGACTGGCTTCTTATTCCTGAAGATGACTGCATTGAGGACTTCTGTTAGGTCTAGAGAGAGTGTTTGGTGAACCTAGAGGAGAATTAAATAGAAGAGAAAAAAGGGTGCTGGTTTGGACCAGATAAAAATCTCCCTTACATATTTCCAGTCATTAGATGCTACCCCATGATGACCATTGAAAAACAAGGGAACAGCAACAGCATTTCAGGAGACTGACCCAGAAGGGAGAGTTACATCATCAGGCCCTCAAGTTTCACTCACCACCAGTTGCCAGTCCTGCACAGCTTCCAAACCGCAGTGTCTAACTTACTTGTCTGTCTCACTCTCATTACTCCCTGCAGGCCTTCTGGCATGTGGCTGTCAGACTGCTGAGCACATGAAGCAGCAGCCAGTCAGCAAGACTGACAAGCCAGGCAGACAAAAGTCATCAGTGGCAAGAAGCTGTCCCTGCCTGCTGGAGCTGGGAAGCCTGCAGAGAGCCCAGGGATAGGAACTATGGCATGGGTGAAGGGAGGAGATCAGGTTAGGGACATGGGAACTAGGAGAAACAGGAAAGGTCAGCTTGAGAGGGCAGTCTGCAACATGCTGTTTCCCTCACAGAGCAGCCATTGAGCAGCAGTGCCATGAAGCCTCAGAGAGAGCCCCAGAAGGGTTCAAACTCTTCAGTAAGGCTGAGAGTTGGTATGGGAAGGCAGGCATAAGGGCTGCTGGGTTCACTTCTTCAATAGGAGAGCTAGGAGTAGCTGCTGCAATGTAGGGGCAGTGGTTACTCATCTGAGAACTGACAGGCCAAAGCCTTTGACAGCCTGCCATCCATGAGCCATGTTTATCCTCAGGCTTCTGCTAAAGCCAGTAGCAAGAGAGGCTTGGGTAGTTACTTCAAAAGGAAATATTTTCCTTTGTGTTGGCATTCGAAAGTGCTTCCCTCAAAGTTGTAATTCTATTATTAGCTGACAACTCCAGCTTAGCTCTCTTGTCGGACTGCAAAGCATCAGATACAATGACAGCTGCCCACATTCATAAGAGCTTGCTAATATTGAACACTTACTTACCAATAGTAGGTTTGGATGGGGACTGTTTCACTATTGATCATTTTAGTATCAAAAAAGCAGTTTACAACATGGGACCTGTGTCTTCCACCCCCAGTCTTTCCTTGAGAAAGGCCTTTAAGTACATTTTGCTCTGTCCCAAAGAGGAAAGTGATTTGGATCAGGAGGTCTGGGTATGCACTTTCACCCCCAGGATTTGTGCCCTTCTCTAACTCTTACATGACTCCTGTCTCAGCCTTCAGCAACATGCTAGCTTCCAGTCCTGCTGGAGAATAACTTGCAGCAGGAAATAACTTGTGGACAATAACAAAAGAGGAATCAAGGCAATCAGATTCCAGGCCAAAGCAAATGACTTTCCTGTGCTAATGAAGATATTATATATATATATATAATACACACACACACACACACACATATTTATTTTTAAGGTTTAGCCATGTGCTGACTCTGAACACTAGAGTGGTACTAACCTCAGTATTGTAGCGATGCTGATAAAGCAAAAGGGATGCAACCAACAGCCATCCAGAGCACAGCAAGGCATCTTCAGATGACAGGTAAGCAGGTCCAGAGGGCGGGGACCGCAACCAGGTGCATTCCAGAACCTTCTGCAGGAGTTCTAGCAAGGACACATTGGAGAGCAGCACAGCCACTGCTGCATAGGAGAAACATGATAAGAGAAGGTGATGGGATGGCATAGGTTAAACCAGCTTGACAAGCAGAAGAGAAGTGCAGAACACACCCATGCTGCAGTGAGGCAGCCCCAGCTGCCACAACTCATCAGAGTAAGGCTGTCCAGCTATGCTGGTATTCATCTCCCACAGCACCAGCAACTGCTTGGCCAGCTAATAAAATGATCAGCCTTCAGCTAACACAGCAGGAAGGCTGGTTAGAGCTGTTCTCTATTTTTGTCTAATTTTTTGAACTATGACAATACCAGGATATTTCAAACTAGGCACCAATGCCCCACTGCTGTGTTCTTTGAACAAGAAAAATACAGTGCTTCTGTCTTTCAGCAGCCAATTCTTGAATCATCAGAAGGCAGCAAAACCAAACCAAAACCCTCAACCTAAAAAAATGCATCCTAAATACAAAATGTCTTTGTTAATTATAATGCTGCATCTGGATGGAGAAACATCCACCTTACCTGCTGAGACAGTTAGAATACAGTCTCTGATGGCCAAGTTACAACCTCACTGAGATTAATTTAGCAATCAATACAATCTTGCCTCACCTCTCTGTTGACTACAAGGTGTTGTCTGATGAAGGTTCCAGTACAGAAAATTCAAGGATGGCTGCAGGAGGCCAGTGTCCCTTGGCCTGCATTTCCCACAGAGATTACTGACTGGAAACAAAAGAACACGAATAACAAGGACACCAGCTTAACAGAGCACCTTCGAGCAAGAAGAAGTCAGATACTGGGGGGAGAATTCAGATGAGAAGTGAAAATAAAACAGAGCATGGTACAGACAAAGCAACGGACGACTGTCCTACAGTGTTTGCTTTAGATTGGACCATGCAGTGGAAGATGATAACAGAGAGGGGGAATAGAAAAAGGTATATTAAAGGGCATAAATCACATTAGGCAGGAATGAATCCAAGAGCAATGGACTTCAAGTTATCTGTTTCCAGTGTGAGCTTGATCCTAGTACTAGAACAAGCATAAACAGCCATGTGACTGTCTCTCATGGTGACCAGACTGGGGAATGGCATGGAGAGCTGTGCTCCTCCGCTCTCTCTAACTCTGCTTACACTAGGAGTAAAGTGTCATGTTTGTTGTAAACACCAAATACTTAGGAACAATGTTTAGTAAAAGTTAGAGAAATCCAGGACTACAGGTCTCAGCAAAACTGTCATTCATAGGAGATCTTTTGAAGAGCATACAGTCTGAGTAAGCAATTCTCAAAAAACACACATCAACACACCTCTTCCATCTATGAGCTGGCTTCATATAGGCCTCATTAGAGGATAGCGTCTTGCACACTCACCCCTGAAGTTAACATATCCTGGGGAGCCAAGGAGGGAATAAATGGGGTGGTTGGGGTAGGGAGAGAGTTGTGCTGCAAAATACAGAGCAGAAAGCAAGAGCAAAAGGAGCTTGTGACTACTGGCAGCATCTGAGCTCTGCTCTGAAATCACAGCAGCTAAAAATGCTGGTATAAAAAGGACATGGTTCTTCCACACCCCTCAGTTCCCCTGGCTAATGAACGTCTGAGAAACACTGCTTCCTTACAAGGCCAACGCAGGCAGCCTCAAGATACGAAACATTTAAAATCGAAGGGGGTAGTCCTTCAAAGTCTGCTGGAGAGATCAGTTTGTCAGAGCAGGGAAGAGATAAGAGGATGGATCAGCTGAATTTCCTTCTAGTATCTTTTTTTTCATAGGCTGCATGAACCTCCAATAGCCAAGTAAGAAATCACCAAGTAAGGATCACCAGACAAGGCAGCAGGTCACACTATGGTTAACAAATACAGTCTTCTGTGTCTTTGGGGTGGACTGGGCGAGCTCTGCAATTGGTAGGGAACTATATACTCTGCATTCACACTTCAAGGAAAGCCTAGTTTCACTAAGCTGCTGTTTCCTGATAGCTGATTAACAGGACATGACTGTGACCTGAACCCCACAAGACTGTTATAGCAAGTGTGGACAGGGAAGGATGATTCAGGAAGCACATCAGCCATACTGTCATGAGCCAAATCAACAACGGTCACTGACCCTGAAATCATGTCATGGTCAGGGGAATACTTTGGCCACCTTGTGAGATTTCAGACAACAAATGTATTGTAAAAGTAAGAAGAGAACCTGGGTTTTGTTGACTGAACTAGTAACCAGGGCTCTTTACAATGCCCTGGCTATGAAAGTAACTCAAAGCAGCCATAGCCATAATGCAAGGTACATCTCACAAAGGACAAAGAGCCAACTCCTAATCATCTTAAGGCAAGGAGAAGATGGGTGCATATACTCACCCTGGTGAAGTAGCTTGAAGTCTGTGCTGTCCAGCTCCCTCATGCCCTTGCTCCGCAGTTGCACCAGGAAAAGGAGGCTCAGCAAAACAGGCAGGTTACTGTTAGCTAAGAAGGGCACAGAAAGCTTAGGTTTTCAGTTAACTCTAAACTATTGTGCCTTAAAATGTGCCAGGAATTGTCAATTTTCTGGCTCAGGACTGAGGATGGGTTAGGGGAGGAAGTATTGCCCTTTTACACACACACACACAGAGCCCCAACTTCATTCTCATCTCTACGGTCCCCTCTGGATCAGGCCCCCTTTCTGCCACTGTGGGTTGGCCTGAGTTACACCTGGATCCTGCCAACATCATTCTAGGAACAACTAGAAAAGAAGGGGTAAAAGGACGCTAGGATCATATACACCCGTTGTGAACCATGTAGGGAGCATGGTCATCACACTTTCAAACTGATACCACTAATATGCTAGAAGTCATTAGCCCCTGTCTATCTGACCACCACTGGCAGCCCATGCTTTGACAGCAGCCCAGCTGTGCAGCATTTGTTCTCCTTCATCTTATGAGACCAGAAAAATGCTGTCCATCCCACAGGGCAGAGCAGAGACAATAATAAGTGAGAGCTCCACAGGTCTGTATGTGAGAACAGGGCTGCTTAGACCACCAACTCCCCAGGGCAACTCCCTCCCTATTATTCACTCTTTCGCAGTGCTGTAAAGAGATAAAGATTTTATATTGTATGCAGCCATACCTACAGCAAACAACTATCATCTCCAGAAAACGCTTTTACAAAAGCTTGGGAGTTTTCAGTTTTGAGGAGGAAACATTTATGGGTGTCTTTAATGTTGACATATTCTTGATGGAGTCCCACTGTTAGACCACCTTCTTGTCTAAGGGCAGGCTACTGTTTGAATAGGGATGCAGGTCCCCTGGACTTAACTACCTCAGACCTCACAGAGAGCTGCCTGTGTGCTGCGAGACAAGGAAGTCTGTCTCCAGAGTACATCTGGTGTTTGACTTCCTGGATGGACCTGCCAGGAACTCAGTTAACAAGCTCAAAATGCAGCATGAAGAGAAGCTGGGGATATTAGTGGCAGCAAAAGGGCTCAAAGCTTGCAAAAGCTTCTCTAGCCTAGTGTCCTATCTCCATCACCAGTAGTTTGGAGAATTAGGTCTGACTCTCGCAATAGTAAATGGACAATCTCCCTCCCCGCAGCCCCTGGCATCCCTAGATCAGCAACAGAGGGACACCACAAGTCCAAATGTGCACAATTTCAAACACAATCAGATCTAGCAGATGCCAACATTGCTTTCTTTATCCCTAATCTTGTAGCCTTAAGCTTTCAACCCCTCCCTCTTCTCCAGTTTACTGACTTGGCCTGAGGTAAAGCAAAAACACTTCCCCTCTTATTGTCTCCATCCCAAATGCTGCACAGCAAAACACCTGAAACAGAGCAGGGCAGTTAAAAGTGTCGGTGGCCCCTCAGGAACAAAAAAAGCTGTGCTGGGTCCCTAACTTAAGGGGTCAAGGACATCCTAGCACTGCTCCCTCCCTCAGTTCAAGATCACAGGCTGCTTTGCACAGCACCTTTCATAGTGGGATAACAATTCCAACGCCACAGCCAGGGCTAGTAAGAAAACAGGGATTTCCCCCAGTCACAGCCTTGCTCTTGTTGAGAGGTTTAACAGAATTATGAGATTTGGTAATACCACAGTCCCCGTTTGGGGATCAACATCATGAATGAGTCAAACAATCCCTGCTCCTGGTCTTTCTGTCCTGAGAACTGTGTACTCTCAGGCACAACAAGCTGTTTTGCACAGTGAAGAGGCAAAAAAGAGAATGTCTTTCAGTCACCAGCTGAGCCCCTATTCAAGCTGGAAGATTTACCAGCACAGCTCTCCATTTGAACACTGATGGCAGTATATGAGAACCCTGCCTTGGTTTAACAATCACAGTTTGAAGCCAGAACAACATAAATTAGAAAAAAGACTCTCACTTCAAAACTAATCTCTGAAAGAGGAAAGTAAATCAGTACAGTTCTGTTTGTAAATTTCCTCATGCAGATAAGGACTGAAGCTACATCAGCATTTCAAAACCACTTTATCTCAGACTGTGTCCCTTCAGCCACCTACTCTGCTAGTTGATCTTACAGCAAGACCAAGTCACAGAGGTGGGGTCACCTTGTAGGGTGGCTGAGCTGCTGTCTACCAACAGCTGCTGCAGAATCTGTAGGAATCGGCTCCGGAGGAGGTCACAGACAAGGACATCCTCATTTCTTTCCAGGAAGGTTCTTAGAGTCATCAACATCTTCCAAGCCACTTTCACAGAGCTTGAGCAGACCAGGTCCTGCGAGGAAAGAAATACACACGTTACCTTTCTACCCTGATTAGGCAAAAGTCACTGCTATTTAATACCATTATGCTAATCCGATGCCTTGGGAAACAGCCTAATAAAGCACCATTCAGATTAAGTATGTCCTGATTAAATAGAAAACTGAATATGAGAAGGGCTGAACATGAGAAGGACTTATGTCTGTTAGGCACCTCTGAGTAATGTCCCATTTAAAGAATGTATTTAGCTATGTAATTATAGGGGTAATATGCATTTAAGGTGAAGGTTTTAGACAGGGAGATCCTAAACAAGAGAACAGAGCCTCTAGCACTTCTGCTCATCTAGTTGTTTTGAAAAATCAGGTTGCATATTAAAGATGCTTATTTAAAATCAAGCTTACGAGTCAGTCCATAGTTACTAACTTTCAAAAGGCTGTCAGCTTTGTATGTGCAGTAGTAACATAACAGCTAAACTGCATGAAACCTACATAAACCAGGCAAGCAATCACTCAGTCACAGGAAAGGGAAGAGTCACGTACACAGCACTTATCCCACAAGCCTGCTTTTTGACTACAGAGCTCTGTCTGCAGTTTCTGAACCAAATCTCAGAGCCAGTAGCCTTAATTTGGGCATACTCTTGATGTTAAGGTATTTAACATTAAATTCACTTGCATAGCATGTACAGAGGCAGTTCCATAAATATCAGGCAGAAAATGCCTGGTAGCGCTGACATAATATGACCATCTCAACACGTACTATGTCAGCACTACCTTTCCTCTCTTCCTGCAGTAGTCCTGGCTACTGCACTGCAAATGGTACAGCTGAAGAGGTAAACAGGAAACTGGTCTCAGCAACTGAGCCTGCAGCCTGACTGGACAGTCTGCTGCCTTTTCCAGCTGCCTTCCCCTATCACACAGTAGTAATGCAGTAGACTGGGATGACGGAGACAAAATGGCTGTGGGACTCCATACACAAGGAAAGCAGTTAAAGTAAGAACAGGCTGCCTGTGACAGAAAAAGCTCTCTAGTTCTGAGCCTAAGTCCTGCCTGTATCAGAGACCTTTAGGAGTAAAGGGCAGGGAGCTGACTGCACAATCGGCTCTGCTGACATAGATCTGCTTCATCTGACATTCACGAATCCAATGTCTCTATTCTCTGAGAGATACCTCAGACCTGGAGCATAGAGAAGACAAGTGGGACAGTGTGTCATCACAATCATATTCACCCCCAGATAAACACACTGAGCACAGAATGGCATGGACCAAGGGCCACAGCCTTCCCGGTCCTGGTAAATGCACCATTGTGTTAACATCTTCCTTCCTACTCAGGAGCTCAAGGTCTCAGATGATGTCACTAACCATCAATTACATCTAATCCAGACAATTATTAAAAGTAGATAAGCAAATAAATCATCCTTGGAACGACATACATTTTTGTTTCACGGTACCATGCAGAAGCCTTTTCACTTCACTCGTGCATTCTGAGGCTTCAGTTATTCACCTTGTAAGTTTTCCTTACATCTGACAGTATATTTATCCCAGTATATTGCTCTGTATTATTAGTCCATCTAAATTCAGATTGAATATGAGCTTCCACAACTGAAAGGTGAATTGTCAAAGCCTGTGATTTATTACAATTCGCTTTAAAGACTGGGATAGAGCCAAATGAATGTATTTCTGCAAGAGCACATGGCAAGACAGAAAGGGAAAGCAGGAATGTTGTACCATTAAGGGAAGGAGACACTGTTTATGTTTTGCTTATTGACAGACCTGTGATGTATACATATGCTTCAGTTTATGGAGCGATAAGCTCCAGAACTACTGCCAAATATAACAGTGTGGGCAAGTCTCATGGGACACTTCTTAATTTGTACTGATATGAAAACTCACTGATCACTTTTACTAGTGCTCTGCAACTGAATCAAATGCCTGGATGTTGCTACCTACTCTGCAATATCACCCTGTGAAAGAACTGCCCTACAGGAGAGCCCTCCTGTCAGCCATTTCAGTAATTCCAGGTATTAAAATTTACTTCATAACCTCTTAGATCAGAACAAATACATGCCAGTCTGTAATGCCCAATGGATGTCCACTCAGAATCAAACCTTGCTTCCTCTTGCTTCTTCACCATTTGCTGACATGGGTTTGTCTTCTCAATGATATTTAGTTTTAATTTCTCTAACAGACTGGAGAAGAAACATCACAACTCTTAGCTTTTGCCCTTACAGGCAAATCTCATGTTCTTGTGTGGAAAAGTTAGCAAATACTTCATATATGACTGGCTGAACAGTTGTGGGACAAGTGGCCACTGATGGGGAGGGGTGACAGGGCAGGTGAGAGTGGTGGCAGCGAGAGACAGCCTCTAAGCAGCCATCAGGACATGGATTCTGTTACGATTACATACATTAACAGAGCTCATTACACCAGCTAAAGGCAAACACTAGTCTGTTACTTTAAGGCCCCTTTCTCTCCTGCATTGATTAATTTTCCCTGTCTCAAAATTTTTATTTTTTAAGAGCAACAAAACACGTTATTTGCAGTCCTGAAAACTCAAGAGTACCGCAAAAATCTCTGACAAGACTCTCCGGTAAAAACAAAACAAAATTAAACCCCCAAACAAACAGAAAGGTGTGCTTTGAAGACCTTCTCTCTGCACACTGCTTTTTCAAAGTTCTTGTTCCTCATACCCTTCTCATCTATCAATAACAAAGCATTGCTCCCAAATTAGCAAAATAGCTTCTTGAAAGGCTGGCACAGAAGAATCTGGAGCACCCAGCTGTGTATCTGGATAGAGAATGGAACAGGGTTTTTCATGGCATACCTCAGCAGGACCCTTCAGATCCCTTCCCAGCCAACTCTTAGAAGATCCCTTCCTATCACAGTGGATGGATGACATAGAACAAGATAACACACGTGCAGTCCCATTTTCCTTATCAGGCTTCCTTGGCAAGTAGAAGTCTATGTATACACACATGGCCCCTTCCATCAACATCTTTGGCTTCATAACATCCCTGAGGGCTTTAAGAACCAAAACCCCCATAAAACACGGCCAGGATAGCAGCCTATCCTTGTGAAAGTCACATACCAGTAAAATAAGCAAAATGCTGGAATTGCTCTTCAGAATGGGAAGTAATGGGCTAGCACTGTTCAGCTGATCAGATGTGTCAAAATCAGGTTCTTCAGCCTCAGTTTGCTTGCAGTCTTCCCAGGAAAACCAGAGTTGGAGGACTTGGTGTCCAAATCTCCCCATAAGTTCAGGGTAGTGCAGGAAGAATTTCAGCAGGAGAGGACAATGGACATAGACCAAGCTCAGATCCGGAAGATTATCCAGGATCCTTCTTATGGTACACAACGACCTCTGGTAAGTGTGTGAGAGGGAAAGGAGGAGAGGGAGAGAGAACAAAATAATCACTAGATACTGAATATCAAACAGCTGAAATGATGAGAATTTACTGCGAGAAACAGTCACACGGCCTTTTAAGTAGACAATCAAATATATCAGTTAAACATCATTTTGTGAAGCCCATTTGCATCACAAAGGCTAAGAAACTTGTAGGCTTTATACAGAGCTCAAAGCTGTGCAGCAGCAAAGAGTCATATGGGAACACTAGAAAGCCTGCTGCAGAGGCTGGAGATGTGTTCAGGAGATCGAAGCTATGAAATTTATTATATTCTGTATGTGAATTCACAGCCTATCCAACGCATTTACACTTCCCACACATACGCAAGTTTATTCCATCAAATCCATATTCCCCTGTGGGTTTTCATGGTTAACTTTCCAGAGTGTAGATGCACTGCACGCTCTTCACTCATTCACCACTCACCACCTATTGCAAAATACTTTCTGCAAGAGGGTTGATGGGAGTGGGGAGAAACCTTAGTTTCAAAAAATGGTTCCAAGAGGTAGGAATGAAATCTTCTTTTACCAAGTCCAGGGCTTTGCCTTTATCCTGACAGACAGCAAGAAGGTAAAGTGCAGCTCTGAGTATGTGTGGAGGAGGACAGTCTCCACGGTCCTGTGCTGAGAGGAGGAAATTTCTTATGGCTAGAAATAATTCTGCATCTGGAACAAACCTGCATTTAAGGAGATTGGAGTGGAAACAATAACATCAGATATGCTTTGCCCACCAATACATGGTATGTAATGGCCACAAAACCACTTGCCTTGTATACTCTTGGCTCACCTGTCCCCAAGGGTGTAGGCAAAGTATAAGAGTAGTATGAAGCAGTGTTGGTGGCTGCAAAGAGACTGATCCAAAGAGAAAGGCTCAGGAGTTTCAGACAGGAGGAGAAGGCTTTCAGCAATGGTGTAGTTTAACTGAGGCAGACCCTTCTGCAGGAGCGCAGACATCTCTTGCTCTAGAAATCAAACCAGTATGAGCAGGCAGGCAGTGATGAGGAATGTCTATGACAAAGATGAGTGGAACAACCTACTACTCCACAGTCTGCATACAGTAAGCACACCTCTATGATTTGGCATCGATAGTGGCGTGAGACCTGATTTAATGGAGGAAATGGAAAATTTAAGGATGAAAAGACACTTCTGTTTGAGGGGCCAGTTCTTTCCTGATGCTGCCTGTATGGTGACCAACCACTGCCAGTGGGAAAAGTTGCTTTTGTGATGTGGAAACTTTCATCTCATTCATTTTGGACCTAACTATTATGGAAAGTTGCAGTGTAGACAGGAAAGCTTTACAGAGTATACCAGAGGGGAAAAAATTACCTTAATCTGCAGATATGGGTGACTGTGTGGCAAGTAATTTCGTTTCAATTAAGCCATGCACAGCTGTGCTAATAAATGTCACCATGTAAACAAAATCATAGGCAGATGAAACGCATTCTTTCAGGCAGGGTTCCAAACTCTTCAAAAGGCATTCTGACTGTTACCTCCTTGCTGCACCAGCTTAAAAACAAGCTAGGGAAAAAATTTCTCTAAATTGAGCTATGTGTGTTCTCCCTTCCCTCTTCCCTTGTCCTTTTCTAAATTTTTTTTGCACCTATTGCCTAAACAGAAGGTGGCAGGGCCTTAAACTACATAAAGCAATTTTACTCTTTCCCCAAACTTGCCCTCCTGAGATGTTCTCCTTTTCTCTGTGGCAGAGTAAAGGTTCAGGCACAAGTTGCAGAGGAAGCTGGAACAGGTCTGATTCAGGATAGGATTACTGTGAAGAAGAGCAGAAAGATACAGAGAAGGAGGCTAGAAACATCCTCTTCCTACTTCTAATATCACACACTGTCTGCCAGACCTCATTTTACTGAATTATCACACACAAGCACCTGCCCCATCACAAGAAGACTCAAGGAGGCAGCCTAGGCTTCCAGGAAAACGATGAGTTCCCAAAGGACAGTCAGGTCACCAATGTGGCAGGTGCGTGCAGTGACATCAGTGAAGGAGTTCACGGATCTTGGGCCAATATGAATGCAGCAGGGTACTCTCACAATCACCCTGCCTGGTATACATGGGGAGTCCTGTAAGGGCAGGACCCCTAACACTGCAGAGAATGGGAGGTGTTTAAGGGTAGCTCCCAATACATGATTCCACTGGCAAATACCAGTTAGATTTTGTAGCAATGGTGTTTCCAGGGAAGAACACTGAAGAATGATAAAATATTAACTAAAAGGGTGAGAACAGCTCTACTTCCAGGTATTTCTCTCTCTCCAAAGATTTCCTTGTAGAACACGACATAACCAAACAACACCCGTAACACACCATCCTTGGCACCCCCCACTACTGTATTCAGAGGCCTAGATCACTTCCACCACACAGGCACAAATGTCCCCACTCTAAGTTCCACAGTAGTAACCTGGCCTAGGAGTGCTGTGTGTTTTGTTTACTTTTCAGTGAGATACAGTCACAGGAAAGAGGAGGTAAAACATCTCTGCAGACCTACAGAGCGTCTCCCCAAGTACTCCTCAACTTAGAAATCATAGCCTCCACTACAGGAGATGCTTTGCAATGCCTGTTATTGAAGTCTTCCTCCTCCCTCCCATTTCTTATACATTATCATACCATGAGGAACACACCAATAGTGGTAGTATGTGCCTAGGAAGCCAGAGCTCAGATGGAACTGGTGCTACTGATACTTCTTTTCAAAACACCCACTGATCTGACTACTCCAAAGTCAGGCTGTTTATCTCTGTCTGTGCAACTCACGACGAAGCACAGAATTCTCACAACGCCATGTAAATCCATCCGCCCCCTACCCAACTGCTTCTCCCTTCTCCCTTCTCCCACATCCAGCTTTTCCATTGTCAGTTACCATTTACATTTTGCAGTAAGATACAACCACTCTTGAGTCTTTCAGCCTCCTGTCTTGCCTATTCAGGTGCATTAGATAAGGCATGATCTGCTTTCCCGTCTGGAAATTTTGGACTCCCTCACAATACACACAATACCTTTGTACAGAGCAAAATCTGGCCTTCAGCTCCAGCGTCAGTCGGATGAAGGAGGAGGATGCTAGACAGAAAGCAAGACAGAAATGTCAAAGGAGCACAGAACATGTAGGATAAGGGAAAAGAGTAGGCAGGTCCCATAACCATCCCCACACAAGCCTGGTAAACAGGGCAGGCCATCTCAATAAGAATACATATGTTAGGCTTTCTCTCAGAAAGCAAACTACTCCAAGGTTGGGCTGGAGGGAAATATCTGAGATTCATTTGTTTTCTCAGGAGAAGTGAAGATTTGCCAACTTCACATGTTTAGAACAGAGGAATTGTCTACATCAGCTCTCTGATGTGTGAAGAATAAGGAATACACAGAGTAAATAGGATTTCTACATAGTAAAATCCCACCAACAATTCCAACATAATCCCTGTCTACAGGAACAGCCAATTCTGAATATTCCAGAGGGAAGGGTAAAGCTGACACAACACACTTATCCAAAATAAAACCTGTCCCATCATCATTGCTAGACCAAATAACATTTTCATCCTGCTGAACATGACTGTGCACTCTATTCTTACTCATATAAACATGTAATATAATCCTCCACATAAAATCTTGTTAAGCTCGTTGCCCCAGTAATATGCAGTAGCAGCAAGTTCCATCAGTTAAGTTGAGAGCACAGAGAACATGATCCCACACTACCCTCATACCCAGCTTTTTGGAGAACTTATTCCGCATGTTTGGCACCACTGTAAAGAGGATATTAAGTGTTGAAATGAAAACCTCCACCACCGACAGACTGACAGCCCTTTGCAGGTAGCTCTGTGGAGAGATGAAAAGATTGGGTGCATAAACAGGCCTCCTGCCTGCCCAGAAAGTTAGATTTCTAAATCCAAACAAATGGAGTAACAGTTCTTTTACCAAAATGTCTGGCAGCAAGTACACAGGCTCATAGAGCACTTTGAATGCAACTGACACTCCCCTCTGCCAATGATATGAGCTGCACTAACACTGCAAGACATTACACCAGACAAGAAACTTCTTCCAGATTCCAGCTGGCAACCAGTTAGGCCTTAATCCACAGTGACTAACATTACTGCACACATTGCCCTGGAAGTAACTGCTCTTACGGGTCAGATGGCTAATTCTCCAGCATGGCATACAACACAGGACATATATTCAAGTTCAGCTGACTTCAGTGACACTTAACACTTGTGCTTCAGTGTTTCATTGAGCAGTGGCAAACATAGGCATTTCAGCTTCCTACAAAGTCCACCCCTACGCTGTTTAGAACAGAATGACTCAACTCACTCTTGTAGCAGGTCACTGGACAATTTTCTCACAGTCCATTAATTTTTATACAAGTTCAATGAGCAAGAAACAGCTTACTGACTCCAGCTTTGCCAAACTGGACATGCACCGCACCCTCACATCAGGGAGGAGAACAGCAATGCCACTGCATTTGTCTACCAAGAGATTGGTTAAGAAAACACCAATCAAAACATTCCCAACAACTGCAAGGATCCATACACCTGAATCTGTAGCAAAGCACAAGCAAAATTTACTAAACATTAGGAACCCCAACCACAGTTCCACTGTTTTGACAATTCTGCTTGAAGTGTCTTAGGGACAGGCCTGTATGGAGCACTAAAGCACATATGACTCTCCACTGCTGTTTTCTAAATCATGTCCCTGGCCTTAGTGAAGCACAGTGCTTAGTACTGCCCTTGCTGTGCAGACTGGGCAGCCCCATCAGTACCTTCCGGAAAGAAGCGTGAAAATGAAATTGCAGATGCAAAACACAGCTGCTCTCTGAGACACAGGCAAGTTTTGGAAAAGTGGCAGAATGGGAAACAACAGTTCAGGCACTCTTCATTTTCTGCAACATCCAGAGCTGCCGTGGATCAGATAGCATGGTAGGTAGGTTATGGGGATTGCACAGTCTGAAGAAAGACACTGCCATCTACATGGAAGCTTCATTAAATTCTCCACCCTCTGAGACCAAACATTTCCTTTTTGCATGAACTCTATATTTCCACATTTGGCTCTAGAGAGGTGGTAAATGCCACAGCTGTTCTTGGTTTACTCTACATTTTCTCTTCCCAAAAAACCATTTGTCCAACCCATTCTTGGGGCTTGAAAGCACCTTTCCAGGTACACAAGGAACACACCGAGTTCAAAAGAAACCCTACCATGACCATGGGGATGCAGAGACTGTCACAAATCCTCAACAGGAACTCAGAGAACTTGCTCAGCGTGTCCTTGCTCTCAGAGTTGGGGGCAGTGAAAGCGTTCTCCTGGGCCATGAAGTCACCCTGGAATTCCACTGCTAATCTACAAACACAAAGTGGAAAACAGAGGAGAGAGGAATTCTCCTCACTCTGCAAAGGAAGTCAGGAGATACTAAATTTCCATCACAACTTTCACCATCAAGGACTCACAAACACTCAATAGGTTGGAAACACAGGAATCTGGCAATCACACAGAGTTGCCTCTTGAGTGAAGCTATTAAAAGTCATCAAGGTTGCACAATAGTACAAGCTGGGAAAGGAAGACTTAGTTTCTGTGAAGAAAGCATCTGCTGTGGGAAGCCCTAGTGTGGCAAGACTGGTTTTCAGCCAGGTGCACAATACAGCAAACCTTGTGAAAATCAGCCAAGGGACCATTCAGCTGATCTAAAATCCATGACAGAATCCAAGTGCCCTCTAACACCACCGCAAAACTCTGGGTCAGTGCAGAAAGGCATACCTGCTTCTGACTGAATTATCTCAGCCAAGCCAAACACAAGTGATGCAAGGCAAAAATTAAGTTGGCTGGACCACAATGACTGATCCTGATTCATACACAAACTCATCTACCACTGTCTGCTGTGCAGCCAAGGGTGACAAATAACTCTCATCCAGCAAAACAGGAAAAGTTGGTGCCTACAGACCCATTTGTGGTAACAGGTCACAGCCATGAGCAAATCCAAGGTCAGCATCTGTTAAATGGTTAATCCCTTCTGGCAGCGAGACCACATACTCCAGGGTACAGGAATCTGTTTTCATACATACCTTCCAACAATTCTTACACTGTCAGTAGTTTTGGCTAATTTTCAAGCAGTCCCTCAAAGCCTAAAGACATGAAATAAACTGATAGGTCCCAGGCAAATTTCATGGGAGACACATCCATGGGTCACAAAATTATCACTATTACTGCATATCTCTCACTCTGCTGTTTCACTGACAATTGCCATGCATTTAACGCACCTGTGATATTTCCTTGGTGGGGCTGGGTGGAGGAACTCAGTTGCAAGGGCAAAAGAATGGACAGATGTGGACACACACCAGTCACCTGCCCACCTTCCTGACTTGTCCTCACCTGCAAGCATTTCTGAAACTTTCCAGGGTGTTGAGCAAGAACTGACACTGCCTCTGAGGGACTCTGCCGAGATTTCTGTTTGCTGGTTGACTCTGAGACACCGAGAATAGAAGATCACCCTGTCAAAGGAAAAAAGTCTTTAAAATCTTATGTTCACTTTCAGAAAAAATAGCTTTCTTCTCTGACAGGAGCAGCAGGAGGAACAACAGATTTCACTTCACTCACTTCTTTCACACAACTGTTTTTTCACTATTGTGCTTTGCCCAGGGAGGGCAGAGTTGGAGAGCTTGTGTGCTCTTCCTACGGAAGACAGTTACAGAGTTACTATTTCTGTACAGCCCTGTCTTTACAGCCTGTATTGCCATGATTTGATTTCATCTGAGTTTTAAACATCTCACCTAATGGACCTTAAAGCCCTTACGGGAAAACTTAGTATTTTTTTAAATTTTCTTTCTTCCAATTACTCTTCAGACAACACTGAACAGTTCTCCTTGCTTAGCACTGAAATCTTAGAAGTTCCCTACTTTGGCTCAGATTTTTAAGCAACGATTCACATACTAGCTCTTGTTCCCACAGCATCCTACCAAGCTCAGCCAGAAGCCAACTGAAGCATCAGAGTTAATAATTTCTCCAAAGTGGGAACAACTTGGTACTCAAAATCTGCTTTTAAGCCTTAACTTGTTGTGGTGGTCTTCTCCAAATACTACCAGAGGAGGGCACAGCTACACACTGATGCCTGGCAGTTCAGAACTCCTTTTCCATTTCATGCTGAGATACCTTAGCAGAGGTACAATCATTGACCCTTTTCTCCCTTTAAAGACAGTCTGGATATCCTCACTATCTGCCTAATTTCCTTCCTGTGAAGCTTCTAATTCTGAAAGGGACATCAAGCTCTGCATGTGTGCAAACAAACTGACCAGCATCTGCCTATGGGGCAGAAAGCAGTCCTGCCTTCTCCGGGCAGACAAGGCAAATATCTGGTACCACAGAACTTAGGTTTAAAGATAGTTCATCAAGAATTTGGAGCTCTGGTACTCCAACAATATGTTCTTGTCACTACGGATGTGATCTAAACCTACACAGCTCTAAGCCTATTGCAAGAAGGCTCAGCCCTTGTCTTTCACTAGCCATCTGTAACTGGGGCTCTCCTCAGAAATGCAGAGGTCCCAGTACCACATCACACTAACTACAAATTCCAGGAACAGGAAAGAATTTACAGTTCAAACAATAGCTAACACCTCCCTTGCTGAGGGATCACAGTGCATATATGACACTCTTGATCTGAATGCAAAACAAGAGATGTTCATTGACAAAAAAATACATTGACCAATGCAGCCTACAAGGCAGAGTCCTGAAGAAGGGGAGGTTCCAATGACTTTAGAGTACTGGACACATAAGGAGAACAGCGTGCTCAAGCACTGCCCCACAAATCTTCATTGATTTAGAGATAACATTTACCAGCATCCATCTTCATCTACTTCAAAGACAAAGTTTGGTACCATTTTGAGGCAAGAGGATCAAAAGAAGTATCAGAGAACCAAACAGGTAAGAGGACAGAACACATACATAACATCCACATAGAGTGCTAGGAGGATCAACCCCGTCCTGCTTGGTCCTACCAACAAGCAACAGCAACTTTTAACTTACTGTATGCCTCTTGCTGCTCTGTGGTGGGGAAAGGTCAGCACATCGCTTCAATGCTGCCTCCAGCAACTTCTGCAGCTCTTCATATGGGATTGGAGGGGAGCTCAGATGGTCCTTCCTGAACAAGCCAAGAGAAAGACAGTATGCACAGCCCCTGCTGGGGACTTCCCTGCTGGGAAGGCAACACCATCAGAAATAATTGCTCTTCTAATGTCAGTATGCCATTGCCACACCTCTCCAGCACAGCACAGTAAGGTCACAATATCTGAACTGTGCCTTCATCCACATGTGCGCCCAAACATACTCTCACTGCACTCACTGTCTGTTCCCACTACAGTCAGGAAGCATATGACTATCCAGAGTCTTATGCTTGCTCTTATCAATCTGGATGGGGCACAGAGTGACAAAGCCATTGTACATGCCTGCCTGGGACACCAGGTCCTTCCTGCAGTGAATTGCTGCCTACTGCAGTTTCATTGCCCTGGAAGCCTTCTGAGGTGGGTGGGAAGCTGGCTCTGCTGTACCCACGCCTGCCTCAGCCACAAGTCCCACTGCAGAGCATGCTCACCCACACAGCCACAGGGGAGCTGTAGAACCCAACATGGTATCAAAGTATCTATCTGAAGAAAAGCCTGTAAATACTTTCCTGCCTACCTCAGGAAAGCTGCCACAGCTCTCACAGCCTCCACTGCCACCTCCAGCACTGGGCAGTTCACTGTCTCCATCAAAACATCAATGGCTTCTATACATACACCTCGGTTTGTGAATAATTTGATTTCCATGGGTTGCCTGCGAAGAGGAAAACAGAGCAAGCAAGGAGAACGTTGTCAGATTTAGGTAACTGTGGTGCCCTTTTCTCATTTCACCAAATGGACAGCTGGGCTGTGTGGTTCCAGCCATGCCTTTCATTATTCAGAGCCGGCTGCTCTCAAGGAGGCACTCTCAGACTTGAGCAGGTAGAGGGTTTGCCACAAAGAGTGAACTTCAGCCAATCTGAAGCCCTACTATGATGAAAAAACCCACAGACAGGATAACTGTGACTACTCCAGTGAAGACTGACATGAAAAGCACAAGAAAAACAAGCTTTGCAAAATACAGTGATCTCTGTGCCTAGGACTTTATGCTCAGGCCATCTGCTCTGGCATTTGTGGGTTCATCTGGCAACTTATATTCTTGAGTAAACAAGCAAACATCACCATCCTAGAATAGGGACGATGCCATGAGAATAGCTTCTCTCACAGTCCTGTAGCACTTCTAATGCCAGATGGTGTCGGAAGGACAGGAACCTTAATGAACTTGAAAAGTAATCAGGAAAATAAACACACTCCAACTATTTTGACAATTCTTCTTCATAGTGAGCATTTTGGTCATTTGATCACCTTGTGCCCCAACAACTTTAAGCTTTCAGCACGAGAACATAGAGGGATGACAGGCCATTAATCCCATTACTGGACAGAGCTGTGTAAATGGCAGACTATGCTCATTTGGCTCCTGGCAAGTCAGGTACAGTTGGGAGGGCAGGGGGAAGACAGGCAGCTACATGCACTAACAGCCTTGCCAAAGAGCCTCTCCGAAGTGAAGCAAGAAAAGCAGCACAGCATGACGGGAGCCAGACTTGGGAGCCAAAAGTATTCCAGTATTCCCTGGTATTCATTTTTCACAGTCATGCCTGACTAAAGCGAGCCATGAACACATGCTCGCACGCACAAATGGAAAAGTGAACTTCAGTAGAAATTACACTAGTAGCCCAGTTACATGGCAAAAAGGAAACAGAGGAAAAAATACTCTTTTTAGTCACTCAGTGGGATGGAAACCCAACTTGGCAGTAGCCTCATGTTCTGCTGTGAGAAAAAGCTCTGAGGTGGGCAAGGCAAGGAAAAGGCCTTGTGGAACTCGGGCATCAGGAGCCAAGCCATAAGTGATGCGCTGAACTTCCAACTTGTTCCTACTTATACTGTAATTCTGTTAATCCTCTGTATTTCCTTTCTTTAATCACTGACCTTCTGAAGTAAAACACATCAGGAAGAAAAAAGCCTTCACTGACTCATTCAGGGAGGAAAGGATGGAGGAGTACTGCTGACTCACTCAAGATGCACAAACCCACTTTCAGTATGGTGCACTGTGATGTCTTTGGGGCCCGGGAGGAAAGTGTGAAGGATGGCACTCTTGCAGCTTCCTGCAACCTCTCGTCTCTGGGCCCCACACTGTGCCTGCCACTCTGGTTATGATGGGAGAGACAAGAAGCACACCAGGGAGAGCTACCCACCATTCCTGACATACTGCCAAGGGGAACAGAATGTCCTGCTTGGACCTCACCAGAATGTGGGGCTCACTTACACAAGAGAATCCAGCTGCAAGCAAAAACCAAGAGGAGAGGTTCCAGTATAAGATCCCTTTCCCCACTATGAGAGTGTTTTAAATAAAACATAATTCCTAAGGCAAAGCTCAGAAATAGAATGGGTGTGCGAGAACATAAGAGTAACTGCACAGAGTGTTCTCTTTGTTTTACAAGCATAAACGCTGTAATTAGTGTTTCCCACATCCTGGCTTCTCTTTTTGACAGATCCCACACTGGCATCATCACACTGTTCTAGCACTGCTGCTTTTTCTTCTCCTTTTTACCCTGCCACTCGCTACAAAATTGACTATGACATTTCCAAAATTCAGCTTAAGGGCTCTCTTGGGGGAACTAAGTGGCAAAAACAAGACTCTGTCACTAGCATGACAGGACAGGAACAAGATCATAGAGGCAAGAACAGGAAGCACAGAAGAAAAACAAGCCAGTGTATATTATTTCTTAGCAGAAAACAAGAGGAAAAAAGTGACAGAAGACATTAATATTTCAGCTTAGAATTTGTTTTTGCAGTTTGAATTTAGCTCAGATGATGATAGAAGACTAGAGGCCATGGAATTTGCATGCTTTGTTTTGTCACAGAAGCGCACTTAGCAGGATCTGGCCTGCTCACATATGCCTGGACCTTCCTGACCTTCCCTCCTGCTCTGTCTACAGCTGAAAAGAGATTTCACCTCCCAGATAGGCAGGGAAGCAGGAAGATGCAGATATACTGACGGATGCAGGCACAAAGAGGACAAGCTGGAAGGTTCAGAAACAACCATCAGGCCCTTCTTTGCAAGAATAAGGGAGGTGCAATTGTTCAGCATCATCTTTCAAACACAAAGGCTCCAGAAGTGTGTAGATATTTGGCCTCAGAAGAAAACCTTAAAAAGCAAAAGCACCACAGCCCCCATTTTAGGGTACCAAACTCTGCCTGTGCAAGCCTGTCAGGGTACTTCCTTACCGTTTCAGTATTTCAGTGAAGAGCAGGAGCCCTTGTTTGTGCAACTCCACATTGTTCATCTGCAGGACGTCTTGGAGACTCCGCACCAGAGATTCAATGCCTACACATGTTCAAGAGAAGTCACAGAGAGGCTTTTAACATCCCAGATTCCAGGATGGACAAAACTAGTTTTTAAAAGGAAGGAAGATTTGAACAATTATTATTCACTGACAGAAACAACTGTCCAAAACTCTTGAATGTTCACTCAGCTCCCTGACAGTATGCCTTAATTTCCACTGATAGAAGCAAATCCAAAAGAACAGAAGGAATTTAACCATTCTTCCTAAATCTACTCTTGGCGTGTCCACAGAAACACACCTAATGGTAACTCAGCTAGTGTCAATCATGATAACTGGTTATTATAATGAATTAATGCTTATCAGGAACTCACTAGGACAATGGCACTGTAAATTCAAGCTATGTTGGACATCACAAACACATCTGATAGATATTAATTTCCAGTCCTTTATCCATCCTGACTGGAAATTGTGACTGTGTGTAGAGCGTTGAAATTCAGCTAGAGGCACAAGCATTACTGTAGTCACTCTGTCAGAAAAGCTGATGACTCACCATAGACAGTGTGACACTTTGAGAAGAAAAGGCGCTCTTCAGTCAGGAGGAGCAGGCAGCAATACACTGACCAGATGAGGACTTCACTTTTGCACAAGAGACATTCAAACAGGAACTCTGTAAACACATACACACACAAATGAGTTCACCCCAGTAAGAGGCAGGCTGCTCTCAGCATGCATGGCACAGCTGCTCCTAGAACAGAGCAGAGGCAGGAGGAGGAAAGGAGGCAGCATAGCAACAGCCGCAGGGAGAACGGCTGTATTATGAAATGGCGGGAATGGAGAATGGAGTAGATGCTCAGGGTTATGCTAGTCTTCAAAACAAGGTGACTGGAGAGCAGAGACCCACGGGCAGGCTCCTTCCTAGCACAAACTCAGCAGTCAGGAAGGAGCTGAATTGTGGATCTAGACTTTGGTTCAAATGAAAAGCCACTAAGCAAGCTTTAGCACAGATGTAGTGATCTTTTTTTCCTCAGAACTTTTACATCTCTCAAAGAATTTGTATAATGAAAGTATTTCTGTCTTCTGGGATTACAGAAAAATAATAAACCATCTCCCACAGCTGCAATCGAAGCTAAATCCTAGACCAAATTCTGTGCAAACTTACAATATTTAGTGGAATGAGATAAAACTGAAGTCTGTTTACGCTTGTATCTAAGGTCCTGCAAGAAGCACCTTGGCCTCAAGGATTTGTCCAAATTCTCACTGTGGAAACTACATTCTGCCTGTTGACAGCTGCTTCTATACTTTCAGATGAAAACTTACTCTCCCCTTCTACTCTTAAAATCACATCATCCATTTCTATTGGTATAAAATGGTCACCACACAGATTGTGCCACCAGTGGATATCATGGAACCAGACTGATTCCTAAAACAAACAGCCAGGGAGGGCTTTGATACTTGGAGATGAACAATAAGATGCTACTGCATCTCTTCACCTGGAACATCCGCATGGATAAAAGCAGGAGCATATCTGCTGGGAGAGTGAACCAGCACTGCAGCCATACAGTGAGAACTTGCTGCCTGCAACATCTCATCTCTGGTCAACAAAAGCTGTTGGGAAATGAAAGTCAAAAGGAGAGAGGAAGTCAACTATGCAGCTATGAGTAGGAAAGTTTCCTCTTCATTTTAAAATTTTAAACATAAATTCTCTCTTTTGGCATATACTTCACAGATTAAACCTGCTAAGGCAAGATAAAACACTGAAACAAAGACACTCAAAAAAGTACAAAATGAGAACACAACAGAAGATATCATGAGTAAGAACAGCTCTGCCCCCATGCTTAGTCATGCGGGCATTGCAAGTGCGGTATCAGACCTCAAGTGTGAATGAGTAAAATCATCTGAGGCCAGGAGTAAAATTTTCCCCACTCCAGGATGCAGGAATGAACAGGAGGTGATCTAAAGAGGTGTCCCCATTTCTCACTGCAGCCTCTGTTGCTGGTGTTATCAACAGAACACCCTGCCTTATATATATATAATGCCTTAGAAAAAGATTCAATACAGGCCATCAAGTTATTTATGTCTACCAACAATTCACTACTACTTCAGCAATCACCTTTTTGAGAACAAGTGGCAGTGGATTTTCCCCTTCTAAAAAGTCTGGGTCCTCAGTCTCCTCCTCTGTCTTTGAATTATTCATAAGAATAGATACAAAATGGTCAGATTTCAGCAGCTCCTTTAGCAAACCTGCAAAAGGGGGAGCAAAAGTGAGCACTATACTGGGCAAAGCAAGAATTATACTAACACAGGAGTATTGACAGGCTAGGACTTGTTGCCAACTTCCTCCCCTTTCCAGCACTCACCTCCAGTTTAGGGAGCTTGTTTTCACTACGTCCCCAGATACTGCCATGAACCACAGTTCTTGCAACCCCTTGTTGCTGATGCTTTTTGCTGGCTCTGATCTGCTCTTTGTTCCTTCTCAGAGACATGTATGTACAGGGGTACATGATCTCAGGAGCCCTCTACTTGCATTATTTTCCATTAGTACCCACACCTTAAACTGTTTTTTGGGAGAGCTCTTGACCTTCATTCTTCCCTAGCAGTCAGTGACCCTAGTGACTCGACGTTTTCCCTGAAACACTTTCTAGAGAACTGGCATTTATCTTCCCCTACTATTTTCACAGGCTCTTACTGAAACAACTGCATTTAGCTAAAGGATATACAGACACACACAACAATCCTCAGAAGAATAGTATAGATCACTGCTACAGGTATTGATGCAAATCATCAGTACATGTCAGTACAAATTCAAAGGGGTATCATCTGAGCTATAGAATTCTACTCTCAAAGGAATCATCATCCATTTCTAGTAGCTGAACAGATGATCTGAGGAGCAATCCAGTTCCTGCTTGCCTCCTACAAGAAAAATTAATTCCCTGGATGGTTTACAAACAAGGAATGTCAGAAGGGCTGAAATTGTGCTCCCCAGCAACAGTTGATATGTGTAGTTGGAAGCATAACTCCAAGAATGTGCCACATTATCTTTGTAACCAAAATAATATGATGCTCCACATCTGAAGACTGTTGTTTGTTAGACTCCATCCCTCTGCTCTATAAAACCCACCTGCCCATGCACAGCGTTTGCATTCAAACACTTTGAGGGATGGTCAGGCCACAGCACAAGATCTGAAGAGACTCTGAAGATTAGACAGGGTTGGGCAAATATGGGGCTCGAGAGACAACAGGGGGCTGGGGGTGCTCAGCAGCAGGTCTGGTCCATGTGATTGCCATGGAATAACAGAAAGGATAGACTGCTTCGGACAAGCAGCAAAAAGATCCTCTAGAGAGAACAACCCACATTAGAGCGTCTAAACGAGCCAAGGATTTCTTCCTCATTTCAAGCCTTCCCTTGCACCTTGCAGGTTTCTCTCAGCAATGCCTTACCCAAACAATTAACCTGCAGCTCCTTTGTCTGCGCACACCCCAGGGTATTCAGGAAGAGACTACACAGCCTTTCTTCGAAGTGTGCTGAGAGCCGTTCTGTGCCAACAGGAGAAGAGTACAGCTTGCCATACAAGTAGCAGACAGCAGCCTTTATGCCCTCATTTGGGTACATCAAGCCCGTCAGCAGATGATCCACTAAATTACCTAGGATGAGGAACAGAAACGGCAAACATTCGCTGGCATTTTAAAAGCACCAACCTATTTCCCTTGAAAACTTGCAAAAGCCCCCGGGACAGACTGGTGTATGCAGATGAATGAATGCCACAATCAAGTGATGTGCTCAGCACCTTTTGACCCTCGGAACAGAGGCACAGTAATAAAGGCTAGTGGAGCTCACTGTTCACCACATGAGGATCCATCATCTCAGCTACCTCCACGAACAGCTAAGTTTGCTCACCAGACCACTAGGGGCTGGATCAAGCTAAAAAAAATAAATGTATGTTGCCTGTGAAGCAGACCCACAACCCCAGTTCAGAGAGGCTGCTTTTGCCTGGTTGGCTAAGAGCATGATGACGAGCTTGCTATAAAGGTTCTGACCTGCAACCCAGGAGGCCTGAATGCCACTCTTGACTTCTGGACAGGCTTCTTGTGTGACCTTCATGAATTCACCCAGGGGAATGGGGAGTGAATGCACGCGTGTGCATATTAGGGCTGTGAAAACCACCCTTCAGTGGGATATGACATATTACTCACTGTGCTCTACCACCAGTAGATCAGCAAAGCCTGGAATGGCATCTGCCAACTTGCCCAAGAGAGCAAATGTGGGCAGGCTGCTTCTCATGGTAGTTGCTTTGCACAGCTGTAGAGGAGACAGAGAAAGAAAATGTTTCACTGATGAGGATACATCCAAAGGCAGAAATGCACCTAAACCAGCAAGCTCTCAGTGATGCATAATCCCCCAGCACAGGATTTTTTCCTAAGATGGGTCCTCTTCACCACTTAGGATAAAACACAGGAAAATTCTGAACACAGCATTAAGTCTCAAAAACGTCTTTAAATTAATTCAAGGGATCTCTTGCTTCTTGCTCCTCTTCTTCTCTCTCCCCTCCACCTTTTACACTAACAGATGAACCGTCTGAATTTCTTCCCACTTTTGCTATTTCCCAGTTTTTTGTACCCCATGGGACCATCTTAAACTTAGGAACGAAGAGAGCAAGAGCCCATGGCACAGGCTCCTCATGTAACTGAAACTGATAGGAAAAGAAGAACCTGAGTAAGGCATATAGCTTCATAAGTGTATCATGAAGCCATATGGCTGCAATACATCGTGGGAACAATAGAAAAACTCCAGGGTAGACACCAACAGTGCCAACATCACAGCAGGGGAGCTGGCACTAGGACATCCAAGGCCAGGTTGGATGGGGCTTTGAGCAACCTGCTCTAGTGGAAGGTGTCCCTGCCCATGGCAGTGGGGTTGGAACTGGATGATCTTTAAGGTCCCTTCCAACCCAAACCATTCTATGATTCTGTGATCCCACTGCAGCAGATGCTACATCCCAGTGCAGCAGCTGCAGTCTTGCAGGGTCACTCATTTCTCACTCCCTGAAGGACTGAGAGGAAGGGCAGGAGAATTCATCTTCACTGACCTCCTTTTGGCTTTCATTCAAAATGCAGCATAAGTACTGTTCTGACTTCAGCTCCACCACAAGCCGCACCAGAACTAGGCAGAAGAAACAGGATCAGTAATACACACACACAAGCACTCACAATCCATCTTCCACGGGGCTTAAGCAGACCAGTGAGCAAAGAGCTTAGAAATTAAATGAGCACAGAGGTGCTGCGAGAACAGGGTATCATCGGCATTCCCAGCTCTATTACTTCTGATAGCCCGGCTCAAGCTCTCTGCGGCACCATTACAGCAGTCCCATTCTGGCTGCACTACAAACCATGCATGGAAATGAACTGCAAGCAATAAACTGAACATCAGGACAGCAAGGAACCTGGAAGGGAACAAAGCTCTAACTTTAAAAAAGCATTGAAATTTCTGGTCATTGAAGAGAGCAGGCTTCCTACAGTATTAAAACTGGCCTTTAAAAAATTTATCTTTCCAGGCAAGATATCAGAACTGAAATTTCTGAAGATCCTTAGAGTCAGAGTCAGAGCTCCTCCTCCAGCTACTACTGTCCCTGAGATTAAGTGAAGTCTATCAGCCATTCCACCCCACTGCAGTTATCCTATATACCTTACCAGAAAGCAAGGCCCCAGTCACCTTTGCGGTGCTGTTCACCTCCTCAGCCCCAAGTGCTGTTATTCTTGGTTCACTGAAACTTTAAGAACTCTGTCAGCTCTGTCCTAATAAGAGGAATCAACAAGAAACTGTGTTTGCCAGGCACTGGCTGCATATCACCTGGGATGTGCAAACCACAAGGGAGTTGCCTGATGCTGGCAGGCTGCCTCTGCCTCCACACATATACCAGCAGACTAGTTTCAGGAAGCAAGTTCCTCTTCCAGTACTTCTACAACTGGGCACCTGAATGTCCAGTAGATAAATTTTTTCAATAGTGCCTTTACTGAGACACTGCAGAACATTGTTCCACAGGATTTGGTAAGGCTGTCTTGGATGTATCTTGCTGTCGTGGCATGACTCGTTTGGAAAACATACACTTTTGATTTGTATCCTAGAAAAGCATCATAAAAAAAAAGTACCAGAGACTTTGGGGTTCACCATTTCTTAGTATATCCAGGGCAATAGTGGAGGTTTATCTAGGAGAACTACTTCAGCTAATGAGCTGTGCATCTCAGCAGAATCATATCTTGAGACATGTGATTTATAGAGAGTTTAATGGCCATTTCTTGCCCAAAACTCTCAGAATCTCTAGAAGCTTTCAAGAGTTAAGTAACACTAATTTAAAATTTCTCTGTTTGAGAACATCCATCTCTCAACACACTGCTAACATGACAGAAAGACTTCTCACCTTTTCAACATCATTTTAAGCAAGTGTCTGAAAACTAAAACCCCTCTGGATAAAGCTTGTCACACCTCCTTTCACCTTTCATGGCTGGACATGAAAAGCATCATGTCTGCATTGCTAATATCACTAGACTCATCAGAGATGTCCAAGGTCAACTGGACTGCAGAGATTTCTTTGTCAGCCCTGCAGATGTTTCCTTCAGATTTCAAATTAGGGACTCCTCAAAAGAGGAATCTGCAGCCTGTGCACCTAAATCCCAAATACCCTCTTGTCCTGAGGAGAAAGCAGTAGATCCCATGGACTTCCATTTGCTTTGAGACTTTGGTCATTGTTTACCACTGCTACCCATCTGACACTAAATTCATGGCACACACAGAACCTGTAAGAGAAATGTTAAATGTTTGATTCTGCATGCACTCCTCTGCCCCCAAAAATGGGAATAGACTGCTTGTTACTGTTGCACAGATAGGCAGTAGATGGCCTTCCCCATTCAAGCTGTGTAGAAGCCGAGCATCTCACTGTAGTTATCAGACAAGACAGATCCTCCGTTCAGAAACTGCCAGTACTTGAGATGTGCCATCTGTCTCTTACCTTCTACTAACAGGTCCAGGGCACCACTGTCTTCCACAGTATGCAACATCCCTAAAAAATAAACCACAATAGGTCATGGAGCTCATTCCTGCTTGTATCACCAGTGCTGTAATTCCTTCTTGTAAGAAAGAGCTGTAAATTTTGTTCAGAACTGTTTCATATTCCCTGCTTCTCATGACACCAGCCTGACTTTGTCAGGGGAAGGTGGATACTCTCAAGGAGTATCGCAAAAGGTGCCTCCATAAGCAGGACACAGGGACGTGAGCCATTTGGTTCTCTTGCAAATCTTTTATGTACTTTACAGTTGAAGTCAATGGCTCCACCTATGTCAGGGAATATGTAACTACTGCCATCGCCACATCTCACTGTGTGTATCTGATATTATACATCTGAAACAACACTCTGGAATGACGGAAGTTAAAGCCCAGCTGTGAGTTTCTGTCCTTTCTATCCTCCATTTATACTAATTACTGTGAACAGTTCTCTCCCTCCACAGTACTGAAAAACCCGAAACCAAATCTGAACACCAGGTTTAAAGTATATGGAAACTATTCCAACATTAAATTGACCTTGAAGACACCACAAGTTATTTGTACGATGAGAGCATAAGATTGGATATATTAAAATAAACCCCTGCTTCACCCCAGCAGACAAGAAACTCTACCTCCCAGCTCCTTCCAACTTCAGGTACCTACAGCATCAAGTTCAGACTCCCTCTTCTAACACACCAAGCCACTTGTTTCAACATATCCAATCAAACTGAACGACCTCTCCTCTGAAGACTCCATGATCTCTTGGAAATTTGACCAACTAAAGCAATGTTATGACAGGTGAAGAAATTACTTATTTCCTTCCTCATCTGCCCAATCCTTAGTAATTCTAGAAATTATTTGCATACGGCATTAGGGAGTGTTGCATTATTAGCTTCATGAAATTCGCCACCTTCTCATACGTAAGACTCCACACTACACCTCTCTTCTCTTAACCCTCTTTCTTCTGCCTGTGCTTATCCCAATATTCTCTCTCAAAAAAAAAAAAAGAATGTATTTTCCTGAATTCACTATTAATACTTCCTCCACAGCACTGCTCAAACTTTTGGGGGGTCCCTCTTATACTCTTGCACCAAATGGTCCTTTGTTCATCCAAGTACTACGCAAAAGGTACATGCCACTGTTTGTAGCCCCAAGCTTAGACCGGGATTCCAATTGCTCTAGGAGTTACACCAAGTACAGTAAAATCCCAAAGCTGTACTCAAACCACCCAATTACAAAGCTTCTTAGAGAGAGAATTATTTAAAAGCAGACGAGCATTGAAATGCAAGCACAGTTCCCCTGTCTTCTGGGGTATTTTGTGTTAGGGCCATACAATGTAGAGCTGAACTGGCTATAAGCACCACTTTCTTCACTTCTCTATAGGATTATGTGTGCAGACAGCACTCAATAAAATTTGTGCAGTGGGGAGAACTAAACCTGCACAAAGTCCTGTTTCTAACAAAGATGCTTCCAAAACATGCAAAACGCAATTTGTGGGAAAACAACCAGGAAAACACTATTTGAATTATTCAGTGTTTCAAGGCAGGGAAAGGGTTTTGTAAGTCACTTTCCCCCAAAGAACAAGAATTATCTGTGATATGCAAATGAGATAGTGGAATTAAAGGAATCTGGTATATTTGCTCTTTGAAGGCACTCATATTCATATCCTCCACCTTTCTCTTCCTGCCTTACTGTTCCCTCATTTAGACCATTATTTCTTCTCCATCCAAGATTTTAGATGACATTTCAAAATGTTTCCCACACCACTGCTATGCAAACAGAAACCAGTAAGAGATGTTCAAGATCACAGAGACTGTTACTGGAAGGGCATTTTCTGACACTATTCTGCTGTAAGGCTGACCCACCAGAAAGAAGCAGGTATTACAGTCGTATGGCTACAGGATTTGTAGAGATTTAAAGTGATGGTGTGAAAACCCACTATGAAGATTTGTATTTTGCAGAGTCAATATTAAATCCTGCAGCACCTTTTTAACCTCACACTTTCATTTCTATATGAATCTTCAAAGAACTCCACAGTTCAGCACGATGGGAAAACCCTGAGGCATGAGACCCAAATGGAGGGCATTCAGGGAAGAGTCATAGGCCAGCTACCCCCTGTTCTCTAGAAAGAAACTTTACAGATATGTCTAGATACTTTGGAAAGCTGCAAGAGCTTTATGAACATGCCAATCCTACTCCTCAGGGAATGAAGAAATTAATTAATCTATTCTAAATCAGTGACAGGCAGCTTTCCCCAAGGAGTAATGACATACCTAACAGAATGGTGGAAGAGGTAGGCACCTCAGCATTCTTTTGCTTGGGTTTTTTTTGGTTTTTTTTGCTTCAAATGTGGAGAAGTTTTACACCTCTAACAAAACGTAACTGCCTCCTCCCTGCTGCTGCACTAGGGCTCAGCAGAGCTCTTACCAAAGAGAGTTCCTATCAAATGCATGCAGACCCTCTCGTCTGGTGCCAGCAGCTGGACGACTGGCAGCGCCTGCCAGGCCAGGGCATCCTGGAGACGGGACAGGACATGCTTCTTGCGCACCAGCTACGGATCAAAGACAGCAGCCTGTCAGCCCTTGGGCCCGAGCCCTGCGCTGCTCCCACCACCCCGGGGGGGGGGAAGGGCCACCAGGGCCCCGTGCTGAGGTGAGAGGCCTGGCCCAGGGCCACCCCGGCCGCGCCCCAGCCGCAAGCGCAGCGCAGGAGAGCGGCAGCCCCGGCGGCGGGGCGGGGGCCGCTGAGGGGGCGCTCCGCGGCCCGGCCGCGCAAGGGAAGGGGCGGCGGGGCAGGCGCTGCCCACCGAGGCGCTGCCGTCGCCCAGGGTCTCCACGGCGCAGGCGAGGCAGAGCGGCGGGCGGAGCGGCAACGCCCAGCGCACCCCGTGCCCACCGCAGAGCACCGCGCCCACCGCCGCCATCCCAGCTGCCGGGCTGGCCGCCCGGCCCCGCCCCGCCGGGGGTGGGTGGAGGCTCCGCGCCGGGGCCGCCCCGGGCCCGCCTCCCTTCCGGCGGCGGCGGGATCGCTCCCGCCTCTTCCCCCGCAGCGCGCTCGGGCACACGGCAGCGAACGCGCCGCGGCCATGGTGAGTGGCGTCGGGGCCTGGCTTCCGCCTTCGCCTCCTCTTCCTCCTTCTCCTTCTCTTCTCCTTGTCTTTTCCTTCTCCTTGTCCTCCTCCTCCGGGGAGCCCGGGGCGGAGGGTCGCCACCTCCCCGGCCGCGCGGCGGGCAGCACGTGGAGGCCGGGCGGGGTGCGGCTGGTGGCGGGGGGAGGGAACCCGCGGTGCTGGCGGTGCTGGGGGCACCCGGTGACGGGACACTCGGCGTCTGGGTCACCCCCGCGCCGGGCCTGGGGCCGGACTGGCCGCGGTTCTGCCAGCGCCGGCCGCGAACTCCGCTTGTGACCTCGCTGCTGTTCCGTCCCACCACTGATGGTCACGTTTAGAAGCTACTTCTGATTTGCGGAAATAAACTTGATACGTGCTCTCCTGGGAGTTTCTTTAAAATCTATATCAGATTGTTAATTTATGCACTGAAACGCTTCGTTTTATGTAGTCTTTGTGGTAGCGAACGCCTGAAGACTCCCCTGTGAGTTCACTGTTGCTGGTTTGTAGGGTGTGAATGTGTGAGTAGAGATGCTCTCTACTTGTATGTGAGGGATGTGTTTCTTATTTATCCCCTTTACTTCGATACAGGAACCCTTCTTGTAGAAGTAAAATGCAGTGGAATTTCTGCTATATGTGCAGAGCAGAGATATGACTCCACTAATCAGTATATGTGATGGATATGATGCCTGTGCAGTTGCTCAGAATAAAGCCCCCTTTGCTCCTGTTGTAATACTTACTACTTCTGTCTTTCTCTAGAGTGAGGCAGAAGTGAATCCCAAAGCTTACCCGCTGGCTGATGCACAGCTCACCAAAACACTGCTGGATCTTGTGCAGCAATCCTGCAACTATAAGCAGCTACGCAAAGGAGCCAATGAAGGTGAGACCTGTGTGTTGCAAAGTGTGCTAGAAGTCATTGCAAGGATTTTGTGAGATGCTGTGGGTAGAGGTTGTCTTTTCTCTGTAGCTGTGAACCACTCATTCTGTATTGATCTGGCTATTGCAAGTGTGTGTCTTCCTCCTCCTTCAAGCTTGCTTAAGCAATATTCAGGGACAGAATTAAGTTGTAATCTTTTCAACATTTATATGCGGTTCTGGTAGATTCCCAAGTTGTGTTCCTGGTGCATGTCCTGTATCGTGCATACTTCAGTGGTGTGGCGCTGGGATTACCAGATGTCTAGCCACTTCAGAATCATAAAATGATTTGCATTTAAAGGGTACCTCTAGTGCAACCTGCTCAGAGACTGGCTCCCTTCACAGCTGCTTGGGGCTTTGCTTAGTCAAACTTTTAAAAAAACCATAATCCCTAAGGATAGAAACTCAGTATTCTCTTAGGACCCATGTCCCATGGCTTAAACACGTCTCATGGCATGGGGGATATAAAATTACACTATGCCCTTGGAATTTCACTGAGGCAACAGTCACAATCTGCAACTTGTACTTCTTCCTGTGTACTCACAAGGACAGTGTGGCTTCGTCTTGTCTGCAATCCCCCTGAAGTAGAAGACAGCAGCCATGCTGCCCCCGCTCCCACCTCAGCCCTCTCTTCTCCAGGCTAAACCAACTCAGCTCCCTCAGTCTCCCCTCATGGTGGGTTCCAGCCCCGTACACATCAGCAGCCTTGGGCTGGCCTTGCTCCTTTGTCAGTCTCTCGACTGCACTTGAGGGCAGTGCTGGGCACAGCACCCCAGCAGCCCTGCAAATAACCCCTTCCCTGGCCCTACAGCTGCCACTTTCCTTTGGCTGTCCTCGTGCTACCTTGAGCTCTCCTTCCCACTGATACCAATTTCAGCATCTTCTAAAGTTGTTTTTCATTAGATCGGCTTCCCAGAAGGACTTAGACTGACTCTTCAGTTTCTTTTACAGCCACCAAAACACTGAACAGAGGGATTGCGGAGTTCATTGTGATGGCAGCAGATGCAGAGCCCTTGGAGATCATCCTGCACCTCCCTCTTCTCTGTGAGGACAAGAACGTACCTTATGTGTTTGTGCGGTCCAAGCAAGCCCTGGGCCGGGCGTGTGGTGTTTCCCGGCCTGTCATCGCCTGCTCCATCACCATCAAGGAGGGATCACAGCTAAAGCCTCAGATCCAGTCTGTCCAGCAAGCTATAGAAAGACTGTTGGTCTAAGTGCCCATGAGTTTAAATGTGTGTGGAACAGGAAAGTGGAAATTAGGGGTCATTAATGTTTAGCTTCAGTTGAGATGATAGTTTTGATATCAGTGTTTCAAAATGCCACATTTTTGTTTAATAATGGCTTAATTCTTAATGTTTCTGCCCCATCTCCCCACTTTTCTATTATTCTACTCCAACACATTCATTCTCCTTGTATTACATCTTGAAAAGTGATCGTACAGCTGTATCCTCTTTTATGTTTAAAAGAAAGAAAAAGTCCCCCGCCCCCCTTATTTCCCTGTCTGCCTGCTCAGGGCTTCTTTAACCCACCCATCAGCTTTCTCTGCGTTGAAGTATTTCTGCTAAGCTTCAGCGTCTAACAGGTGTGAGTAACTGTGTTTCCGAACAGTTTTGGCTGCTGAGTAAAAGGGCTGTGGGTTCCCCACCTTAAGTGACAGGGCACTGTAGGCCGTGTATAAGGCGGGCAGCAGCTACTGTGTAGCAGCAGATGGAGCCAAGATCGGTACTTATAGCACAGCCCTTGTTCTTGAAACCAGACGCAAGACTTCTCTAAGAGATGTATGGGGAACAGAAATCTCATGGCAGTACACAAGGGGAAATGTTTTATCTCAATTATTTTTAAGTACTGACTTTTGAAGAAAAAAATAAAAATGCTGACAAAGCTAAATATAATTGTCATTCCCTTGGTGAAGCATTTGCAACTAACTGGAATGTTTCTACTTGTACAGCTAAACTACTCAGAGGTTGCCTAAAGGCTGTTGCAGTGGAGTAATTCATACTCCTTCACTTTTCTTTGCATGGACTGTTATAATTGAGCTTGGGCTTCCTAGAGAAGTTAAGTACAAAACCCATGGTAGAGGGCAGCCTGTTGTGTCTGACGAGTACCCTACATCTGGCTGATAATTATAAGAAGTATGTCATGCTTTTTAGCTACTGCACTGTGGTCACCTGACTGAAGATGAACCCTGTAAGTCACAGCCAAGGAAGCAGACAGCAAGTAATTTTTCAAATAAATCAACTTGTGTCTCAAGAAGAGAATGCTAGATCATTTGTTCTGGAAAAGCATGGAGCACCACCAGCATTCTGGATTAGTGGTGGTTTTATTGAACTAGCTTTAGTTAAATGCATATTGTATAATCCACTTACTGCTCTGAACAGAAGTGTCTAAAGCCCTGTGTTGGAATGGGCCATATCAAACCTGGTTCCTATTGCAGGATGCCAAAGCAAAGTAGTGTGGAAACAACAACAGGTAACACCAATAGGTGCAACAGCAGAAGGCAAAAATAAATTTACCTGTAGTGTTTCCACAGAGGCACTAACTTCATACCTTTAGTAAGTACATCCCAAGCAGCTGAAATCAGCTCATGAAATACTGAAGACATTGTGTCTGTATGTTTTTGTAAATGGCTGATAACTAATCCTTGTGAACTTATTACAAGTATTTTTAGTCCTTTCAATTGTATGAGGTTTAGAAAGGCTGCTGTTCCCTTCTACTGATGCTGACTGTTGAGCTAGTTGTGTTTAGAACCACAGCTTTGCCAAGGATTTGCCCTATTGTACCAAGACAGCTGATGTAAGACAAAGCACAAAAGGAGCAGAAATAAAGGATTCTTGAGCAAGCAAAACTGTTTCTTTTTCTGCTCTGAAGCCTTCCATCATTATCCCTTTTAAACTTCTGCTTAATGTGATAGCCTGCTGTTAAAAAAAAAGGCCAGGAAGAAGATCTAATAACCTAGAACAAACATGCCACAATTATCCAAAGCCTGGGACGTGCTGTGCCAGGGGGTTAGCAAGCCAGAAGAGAAATTTATAAGGGTATTTGCGGAATTTAATTCACAGAATTATGGACAGGATAGTCTCACTATTTCACTGCGTTCAATTCAAGCCTTGCTAAAACAAGCATTTACAGTAGCTTTTTTGCCGAAGGGCAAAATAAAGTGATTGCTTAGACAAATCTTTATTAAAAATAACTACTGTAATGCAGGCTGATTGTAATTATAACAGATTATATAGCTTCTGCACTGCAGAGCTCAACATGGGCTAGCTGCTCTCTCCAGGAGCTGAGGAGGTAGGAGTGAGCAGTGTGCTGGCACAGCTAGGACAGTCACAGTGTCAGAAGGGGGGGTGGGTCACAGCTGGCTCCAAGACATGTGCCATACTACAGCACCAGCATGACCTTAATATATGATTTAACTCTTCAGTAAGTGGCCCAATAGTTTGTGTGCCAAACACAGGAATCTCTGAACACTAAAAACACTATGCAGACCAAAATGGACACCTCAGGTATCCTGTTTGCATCCTGTACAAAGTTAAGAGTTTCACTAAATAATTAGTAGTTTCACAGAGCAAGGGCAGCAACAGTTTATTGGTTTTAATCATCTTGCACTGCAAAACAGGTGAGGTGTGGCAGAGATAGAAAACCAAAACATAGCCCCAGTTGCTGTCTCCACAAGTATGATTAAAAAAGTAAAAATATTGTACCTAACAGCTACTTTCCACAACTATTTTTTTCTATTTTTAAAGCACAGACTCAAGTACAGAAGCCTGCACAACAGTCTGACTCATACTCACTACAAAAGTGGAAAAGCTCTATGCCATCTCAGTAATTTAACTGGGATAAGTGCTTGCAGCCTTCTAGGGAACACAATTTTTTTCCTTTTTTAAACCAGCTTCTGCTATTACAATTTAAAAATGGAGGACCTGGCTGTGCAGCTTTGTAAAGTGCTAGCTTTTTGCCCAAAGGATTGGCTACTGTTTCCCAGTAGGACTTTCTTTTCCTTTATGATCTGCTGGTAATCTTTGTAACATCAATTTGATTACTAGTACTGATACTGACCAGCTGTTTTGGAGAGTCGAAGAGTAACACACCACATTTACACCCTCTGTTAGCACACAGACTCGACCTGCTGGCTTGAATTCATGTGATGCCATTAAGACAGATCATTCTGTTTTCTTACGCTGAAGTGAGTTTTGCTGTCTTTATGATTCAAACATGGTATAGTCAGTGTTTCAAAGAAGTCCAAAATAACTTTTATTAAGAAATGAGGAAGGCACAACTCTCTGTTCATGTACGGTGGGTGACCTGAGTTCACAGGGAATTTAATTCTGCCTTTGGCTACTGTCAACAGAATCCAACTTTGCAGAGAAGTTTCATAACTATGAGTAAAAAGTTTCTCCACTGCTAGATACAGCAACATTTAGTTGCCTTCTCTTTCGTAGCAGGATTAAACAGACACAGCATTCACATAAGATAACCAACATTCCAAGCAGACAGAAGTCAACCAGGGCCTTCCATTCCTGCTTAACGCTCCTTAAAGTATTCAATTAAAGCATCCATGAGTTCCTGCTTCTTGCCTCCACCCTTCAGCCCGAAAAGCCTGCATGCCTCCTTCAGAATAGGTACAGTGAGCTTGCCCAGAGTGCCCTTCTGCACGTGACTCTGCAGCTCATCCTTTGAGACTTCTACCTTGGGCCTCTTCTCAGTTTGGTCATCAGAAGCTAGAAAGACAAATTTTAGATCACAAAGATTCTTAAAACTTTCTTCATAGAAAGACATCAACATTTCTTATACATACCACAGTTAATGGCCATTAGCACATGGTACTTTAACAGCTACACGTTCACAGGTTTCCATGTTTTGTTTTAAAGAACGGGTGTCACTAGATAAGTCATGTAGTAAGGATTTCATTGATAGGAGTGATCTTAACTGAAGTGTGAAACTCTGTATTCTGATGGAAAGATCACCCTCCAAATGAAACTTTTAAGGGATTCTCATGGACACAGCAGAATGCAATGATTCCACAGGGAACTCAGCTAACTGACACTCCCACTTCATGCAGAATTTCATAGACTCCTAAACTACACATGTACTTCAGCATTACTCACACATTTAGCCCTAAAGATGCCCACCTTGAACTTGCTGAACTGCCTATGCATAAAAGTCTGCTCCCTCACCAACACAAACTGAAAGTATGAATGATTTTACTACATTATCATAAAGTACAAAGTTACTAAAATTATATATACATATTTTGCAGTCATTTACCCACATTACTTCCTATACTTCACTCTGCAGTTTCTCATTCCAGTAGTTCTCCGATTGGATACCACAATATCCTCTACTCTCTAAGAATCAACACTGGATATAAATTCACTTCATTGCGGAGATCAGTAAAGAGAATTCTTGCACAATTCTTGCACATACAGACACTATGTTTTGTGTCTGCACCACCATTACTTACCTTGTTTTCGCTTTACAGCCTTCCCTTCAGGATTGTAGTCAGGGGGATAAACCAGCTGCTTAAACTCCTCTACCAGGTTGCCCAGCCTGTGGTTCATCTGTTCATACTTTGGCACTGGCAAAAGATAAAAGATTTGGTCTCTCAAACCCAGAAAAGTCTAAACAAGGCCATGACCAGATACAGTTGTACTTCTGTAATAACTTGTCTGCAAGCATCTTGCAAGCATGCAAAATGCAAATACCTGTGTTACGATATTCCCAAATGAGAAGTTTACAGCTCTTGGTAATATGAAGAGTTTGGACAACTGGAGTGCTGTGTCCAGTTCTTGGCTCCCCACTACAAGAGAGGCATAGAGCTCCTGGAGTAGGTCTAGCAGAAGGCAACAAAGATGATGAAGGGACTGGAGCATCTCTCTTATGAGAAAAGGCTGAGAGAGTTGGGCCTGTTAGGCCTCAAGAAGAGATGACTGAGAGGGGACCTTATCAATGTCTGTAAGTATTTGAAGAGAGGGTGTCAAGAGGATGGAGCCAGGCTCTTCTCAGCAGTGTCAAGCAACAGGACAAGAGGCAAGGGGCAAGAACTGATACACAGGAAGTTCCACCTGAACATGAGGAAGAACTTCTTTACTGTGCGAGTGACCATGCACAGGAACAGGTTGTCCAGAGAGGGTGTGGAGTCTCCTCACTTGAGAAATTCAAGAACTGTTTGGACATAATCCTGTGCCATGTGCTCTAGGATGACTCTGCTTGAGTAGGGAGGTTGGACCACATGACCCACTGTGGTCCCTTCCAACCTGACCTATTCTGTGATTATACATATGTAATGGATTCACACACTTCCCTGCAAGATATATATATATATGTATATATATATATATATATGCAGAACAAAACTTACACGGTAAAAGTGACATAGAAGATCTTCTCCCTGATTACACTGCTACCAGGTCTAGTCTCAGAATTTTAAAATACAACAGGTTACTATCAAAGGTTGCAAGTAGTTTGAGGCAGAACAGCTTGTTTCTGTCATGTATTTCTAAGACAGCTGGCAGAGGGACCTAGATTGTTTGTTAAGACCATTTCAGGAAAACAACATAATTTAAAAAAAAAATTCCCCTTCAGGAGCAGATATTCTTACATAATAAACTCTCACAGCCACACGGTGGCACAATGGCCCCCAGCAGAATAATTCTCTTAATTCTGCCCATTTATCAGACTGAAGTATTAATGAGAATCTTGAAGAGAGGAATTTCAGAGAAAACATTTGTCACCACAGAAAAAAGGTGATTCAATTTTCATTTTGGATGGTAAAGTAAGCAATTTTTTCTCTACCTTAAAAGTGACAGCATTAGAAAGTACAGTTTCAGTATTTCAGAATTCTACATCATGGAACCACACATTCCAAAATATTTTTTAAAAGACATTTGGGGTTGTAGTAGCACATATTTGACTTAGAACAAAGTCAACAGTCTCCCACCTCCCTTCGCATCCACCAATAATTCTCACTTGTAAGATCCTCAGCTTGTTCTGGTTCCATCATATCCAGTGCTAAAGCCTCCAGATTCCTGAAGTGCTGCTGCAAAACCGGGTTCTCAAAGCTGTCAGTCCTGTCAAGAATCCCCCAAAATGTCAATGCATGCTGCCAAGAAGACAGACAAAACACTTAAGATCTACCACCAACTTACTGCAAAATAAAACTGCCCTCTTTCCCACAGAACAATCCATCGCATCAGAACTGCTTTTCCTCTTTTCAATTTACCTGCTGAATCACTATCCTGTCATGAATCAACCACATTAGAATGCTGTGTGAGACTTAGAAAGGTGGATAAGGCAAAAGGAGACAGTGGCATTTAATAACAGTTATGGTAGTTTCCACATATCTAGGAAAAATTCTCCCATAAAGTACTTCATAGCATTTATCCTAGCTATAATGAAAAAATGGCCTAGCTATTCTTTCTAAAGTGCTCTAATGGAAACGATCCACGTCTGATCTGCAATAGAGTTTCAGAACCACAATAAAATGTGATACCTCTGCAACAAATGACAACAGCCCAGAGAACAAGAGAAATTCTATAAAGAACTCCAGAACGTGCTACATAAACATTATGGTGCCCAGGTATCCAGACTGATTAAGAATAAAGTTTGGACAAAGCTACTGCAATGAGAAGCAATTTCTCTCAAAATATATCAAAATCTCACCTTCAAATTCAGCACACCACAGCTGAACAATGTGTGCAATAGAGCAAGCAATAGTTGTGCTTTCTTCCCCATACCACTCCCCTCCACATTATTTATCTCCACGCACCTGTATTTGAACCGGAGTTTTTGAATTATTTCCTTCATTTTGTCCACCTGCTCTTGACTGGCGGGCACATTTTCTGTAAA